AATATAAAAGATTTAAAAATAATAATCCGTGCTGGAGTTTCACAAAAACGCGAGAGTGGACATCGGGCGCGTTTGTGCGTTGTTTCTCGAGGACGCGCGTGATGTACGATTCATCTACGCAATTTGTGTCCTTGTTAAGCTTGTTGGTGCACCGCCTTTGTTACATTTGCTCTCAATGTGCCTTTTTAAAGTGAAGTAATGGAGAATTTTGAAATGAGCTCAAATGACATTTTTGAGAGTTTTTGGTAGCAAGAAACATTTTGTCTTGTAGTCTGTTTTTTGCGCAAATGATTTACGACGGGGTTGTTCTGATAAATGTGCCCAAATGAGCACGCAAAACTAAAATCCTCACTCCTAAATGACATTTCAAATGCAGTGGGTAATATCTAGACAGATGAGAGTGCATCAATGCGTCGATTCGAATAGATCCCAAAGCTCACGAAACACACACACACACACTAATTCCTTGTTCTATTGAGTCGCGACAATTTATCAAATCGCTCAGAAGTTTATTTTTTTTCCTCCCGCCCCAAGTAAATTGATCTGCTTCTTCCCGAGCATCAAACTGTGCTTTCCCTCTTTCGCGACGACGGAGGGAAACCATATTGCGGCGTCTTTGTTGCGCCGGTTCTAAACCGCACCATGAAGTTGTCTCTTTGGATATTGATATTTGTGACCGTATTCTCTGGTTCATGACTTACGCTGTCTCCCCCCTGTATTTTGAAGCAAAAGTTGGCGGGTGCGTCTTAGACACCGGTGCATGTGTGTGTCTGTGTGTCTGTGTCTGTGTGTGTTGTCTGTGGCCGGATCGAGGGGGCTAAACGGGCGCGGCACGGGCTAGAGAAGAGATGGAGTGATGTGGTACAGGAGGACGTGGAGCTGAGTGGACTTGCCGATGACTGGTACCAGCGGTGTCAAGATCGGCCTCTGTGGAGGAGGCTCGTGAAGGACGCTACTGGGCAGTTGGAGGCAGTCGCCCTCCAACAACAACGGAGGGCGGAGGAGCGACGCTCACAACAACGAGCGGAGCGCCGGGTGGCTAAAGCACAGCAAGTTGGCACAGTAGGGGGCACAGGTGGTGCATCAGCCAGTCATCTCGGTCATCTCGGTCAGTCGACCCGTGGCACCTGGGTCTGCCCCGTGACCTCCTGCCAGCGGGCGTTCGACACTTCACGTTGCCTCAAGGTGCACATGGCCTGGCACAAGCGTCGTGGTGACGTCACCGCCACTTAGTGGCGAATGGCGGTTGTTGTTGTTGTCTGTGGTGTCTGTGTGTGTGTCTGTGTGTGTGTCTGTGTGTGTGTTGTCTCTGTGTGTGTCTGTGTGTGTGTCTGTGTGTGGGGAGTGGTGGTGCAGCGGTTAGCGCACCGCGTTACGAACCCGGCCATCCGAGTTCGATTCCCGCTCACGGCCAACACCGGTGACGATTATCTGAACCGGACCTGGGCCTCTCCTAGGTCTACTCAGACTCAAATGGGTACCTGGTGCGGTGTGTAAACATCGCCACTGGGGAGACAAAGGAGGCCGGGCGTGGCACTCCCCCGTGTGCCGTGCCGTGCCGGCCTTCATAGGCGCTCGCTAACAGCACTTGCCCCAACACTCTGTTACAGGCTATATGGGGGATCTTTGTGCATGTGCGACCAGATCTATATAATTACATTGACACCGGGCACCAGTTTCTGGTGCGTCTTACTTTCCAGGGGCATCTTATTATCCAGAGAACACGGCACGCGAATGAAAATCGTTCCGTTGTGAAAACATTCTCGGCCTTGCCTGAGAGCGGTTGGGCTGGAAAAAAAAGCAAAAGTTGGTCAATAAATATGCACGGTTTTTTTAAAGTAAAGTTTCTCAAACGTGTCCCTCTGCCCTTAGTGATGGGGCCAGTCTGGGGTAATTGCCGTGTGTGGAGTGGTTGGGCCATTGGATACCCAGCTCAGCTGTAGCAAAGCCCAAAGCCTGGAGCAATGCCAAGCATTTCCAGATGTTCCGATGAGACCCACAGGGTCGCTGTGAAAGGCACCGTATCTTGTTTGAAAACCAAAACTAAACAGAAACCACAACTGCAAGGAGAGAGGAGGATGTACAGTGACGGAAAAAAGTATTTGATCCCCTGCTAATTTTGTACGTTTGCCCACTGACAAAGAAATGATCAGTCTATAATTTTAATGGTAGGTTTATTTGAACAGTGAGAGACAAAATAACAACAACAAAATCCAGAAAAACGCATGTCAAAAATGTTATAAATTGATTTGCATTTTAATGAGGGAAATAAGTATTTGACCCCTCTGCAAAACATGACTTAGTATTTGGTGGCAAAACCCTTGTTGGCAATCACAGAGGTCAGACGTTTCTTGTAGTTGGCCACCAGGTTTGCACACATCTCAGAAGGGATTTTGTCCCACTCTTCTTTGCAGATCTTCTCCAAGTCATTAAGGTTTCGAGGCTGACGTTTGACAACTCGAACCTTCAGCTCCCTCCACAGATTTTCTATGGGATTAAGGTCTGGAGACTGGCTAGGCCACTCCAGGACCTTAATGTGCTTCTTCTTGAGCCACTCCTTTGTTTTGAAATTTATATCAGCAGCCAAATCCTCGAGACGCACGTTTCTCAACAACAACCAAAAACCCCGCAACAAAACACCGCGTCGAAGAGGTAAACAAATACCATGCGAAATGGTAACGTGAAGAAAGTTCGTGCTTTTATTCTTTATTTTTTTAAACAAACAGATACATAGTCGGTAAATGCATTGCCTAGCTACGGAGACAGAAAAATCACGGGGGGTGGGGGGGGGGTGCTGCTTGCTACGCACTGACCTGCGGCTACCACTCTTTTTCTAACGATCGCACAACAAATGTTTATCCCCGGATGTCCCGAAGTTCGTATTCCGCGCAATAGTCACAGCGGTTGGGGCACTTACGGCGCTCGTAATCGACAAATAATGTTCGCGAGTTCAATTCTCGGGTCGGGGGTCGACAAGACACTTTGGTTAATATTCACCACCGATTGTGGTCGTGTGAACTCGCTGTTTGGTCCAGGGATGAGACTCTCACCCACCGTAGGAATGTGAATCTGCAAACAGGAGATGAGCGCCATATGAAAACCACCTAAAAAAAACCGAAATATCCTTTCGGTGGTGTAAATATTTTTTCTCCAAATTGAGTATTTTGCTCGTATTTTTTGAGATTAGCATGCATGCACTTTGGCGACTGGTAAAAAAAAAATCAAGCCCCGTTCTCCTAATTCATACAACGTGGACGACTCCGCTAAAAACACGCCCACTCGTTTTGTCGACAGTGACTTGAGTCGCTGTCGCATTTAGACGCTACAATCCGAATTATATAGCATCGTGAAATTTCATCTTACCATATTCTTAGGTTTTTTCGGTAAAGTCACGTAGGTAAAACATTAAAATTAATAAAAGTAAAATAAAAAATAAAACATTTTATTTTATTTTACTTTTATTAATTTTGAAAGTAAAATAAAAAATAAAATATTTTATTTTACTTTTATTAATTTTACAAGTAAAATAAAAAATAAAATATTTTAAATATTTTATTTTTTAAAATAAAAAATAAAATATTTTATTTTTTATTTTACTTTTATTAATTTTAATGTTTTACCTACGTGACTTTACCGAAAAAACCTAAGAATATGAATCATTGCAGTCACGAAAGCTTCAAATCTAGAATTCATCTTACCATTTTATCGCTCGCCGTGCTAAACCCCCGTGCATCTCGCAACCTTTTTTAATGGGGGGGGGGGGGGGGGGGTGGCCAATGGGTTGCAAGCGCTGTCGCGATCGACGGCACGGCAACGCGTTTCTTAGCCGAGCTTTGTGCGCGCTTTGTCGCGGGCATTGCCGGCGTGGAATTGGAGGCAGATGTGAGCGACGTTTGCGTGGGGGAGGGGGGGGTTTGTTTTGAATCGTCAAGTGGCACACGTGTCAATACGCAGGCAGCGAGGGGCAAGCACATTTCTAAGACTAACAAGGTGGGGGAGGAGGAGGAACACTCGTCCGACAGCACGGCACGTCGGCCCACGTCTGCATTGGCTCGTGTTCAGGATCTGTTTCCCACTCTGTAATGGAAACTTTCACTACAAAAGGAGTATTCTGATGTTCAGCCCATCAGATATATATCTCCTTTGTTTAAACGTCTCCATATGTGCAACATCCTTTGTTACCCTTCCCTAGCACCTCCGATGAGCATGGTTGGCTACGTACGGTGCGAAAGAAGTTCAATGTACGTACAAATTCAATGTTTCAGTTTGGTGTTGAATGCTTTCTCCATTCCATGACACAAAAAAACAAAAACACTTGATTTCAATACACGCCGTTAGAATCTTACACATGTAATTCTAAAATGGAAACAATTACAACGGTTTTGAGTGAAGCATTCACATTCTAAGATGTTAAGACATCATGCGTAATACACGATAACAGCGGCTTGTTCAAGGAAGCTTTTGAAATTTGAATATCGCTCTGCAAGTACAGATATCCTTTTGTAGTATCTCACACACCGATGAATGTGTGTACGGATGTTTTCCAAGCACAGTGTTTCACTTTGTAAAATGTGTGTTCGAGACTCATCGCGTAGTTCGCCGAGAATATTGTGAGCCTTTAAAAAGTGAATTAGAACGAGCAGATTCCAGTGCAGATGTTGACAAACACGTGGCACGGTTAACCCCCGCCATGACGTCGCATTATTAAATAGTGTATTCTTTGCGAAGTCTTTGTGAAAAGTTGCATACACAATGTGTCGAGGGGTTTTTTTTACGAGACAAAAACACACACCAAGGCATGTAATGTTACACCGTGGGGGGGGGGGGGGAAGGCCGCATTGTTTGTTGGGAAGTATACGTAATGTGGCATTACTTATAGTTCAAATTAAAGTCCAATCAAATCCATTTCGAACATTAACAACAACAAAAACTCCCAACAGTTAATGACGGCCAAACGTAAAACGACGGTGAGCAGAAAAAAACGATCAACTTGGGCTGTGGACTTTCAGTGTGAATTTAATGCCAAAGTATTTTTTGTTCTATACACACAGACACGACCATTGCGATTAACATTGTCCAGCTGCTTTTAAGCCAAACATATAAAAAAGCCTCTTGCCCAAACAAGCTGATGTACTCCCACATGCGAACATAGAACACGAATACTTATAAAAGAATAATGTTACGTTGTGATCTGTGCCTTGCAGAGGGTACCACGTGCCAGGCTCGGCTGAAGTAATCCCGTTGCTGCAGGTTGTTGCAATGACACGACAAATTGTGGGCACGTTGGCATAATACAGTCGAAGCTGCATATAAGCACACCTTACATAAGCACGGCTCTGATATAAGCAACACATCCTTACATTACACTGGTGGGGGTAAGTTAGCACTGTTGGCAACGTACGGTGCGAAAGAAGTTCAACGTACATACGTAAATAAAGGGCAACTTCTGACACAAGAAAACTAATTTGGATATGAGCAACATAGCCTTGCTCTCAAGGTGTGTGCTCATAGCCAGCTTCTACTGTATTTGAAAATGTTGGCACTGGTTTGATGAACTATTGTTTTTACACACTTGAAGATGTGTTTAATTGCCGTCTAGGAACTGCTCTTCACATATTTCCCATCAGACGGTCACCTGGGAAGGCAGCATCGTCACGTGCGAGCCACGGGTTTATTTGCTCGGCTGTGAGAGCCTGCGGATCTGCCCCTCGATATCGTCCCCCTCGAGCGTGAAGGTCTGCGTGCTGGTGGTGCCGTCGGCGTGTGTGACGGTCTTCTTCACCGTGGTTTTCTTCTGGCCGGACGGCTTCACCACCTTGTTGATCTTGGAAACCCTCGTTCCACCTTACAGCACACATTGCCCAAGCGAAACGACAAAAAAAAAGATTAATTACTCGATGCGGCAATCGTGTTGTGACGGTTCCACCTGAAGACGGAAGCTTGTGTTGCCTCCGAAACGTCGTGATTTTTATTTTATTTTTTATTTTACTTTTATTAATTTTAATTTTTTTACCTACGTGACTTTACCGAAAAAAAACCTAACAATAATAATACGCAGTTTAATTGCTTGATTCAAGCATGCTGGTGGGCATTGTGTTTCATTGTTATAGGGCAGAGATAACAGAGGATTTTAATTTAGAATTTTTATTGAAGCAATGTGTGGGGCAGATACATCGCGTTGTGACGCACGCACACACACCGTCAACACAGGCCAACCCGGTAATGAAAAGCAGGAGATAGAAAGATGGGGAATGGGCTTGCTGCCCCAAACTGACTTTTTTTTCAAAGGTTAATGGAAGGTCTCAGCCCGCATTCACCAATGACAGCATGAAAAAAAAACCCCAATGACATAAAATGTTTCTTCTACATTTCACTTGGCCAACTTCCAGCTGGATAATTAAAATTTCGGTTCGGCCGTTGTGTGACCAACATGACGCTCGTGTGCAGAGCGGGTGGTGGGTAAGTGACGGCTCGGCCCAACTGTCACTTTTCAGGGATCTCGGATGTGGCTCTGTGATATCAACTTTCATGGATGTTGCCTTGGACGAAGGGTTGCCCCACTCTTTAAAAAAAGAGATCCGAATGGGTTCCTCGTTTCATGACATGACGCTGAGAGCACAACAATGGGGATTTTTTTTTTTAACATTGGAAGTTTTTCGATTTAAAGCTTTCGTGACTGCAGGGATTCATCTTCTTGGTTCTTTCGGTAAAGTCACGTCGAAGGGAAATAATAAAATAATAAAAATAAAACATCATTGTATTTTATTATGTTTTATTTTTATTATTTTATTATTTCCCTTCTACGTGACTTTATCGAAAGAACCAAGAAGATTGGAAGTTTTATTTGAGTAAATTGGAAAACTTTCTGGAGTATATAAAGGTCATGCAGCTCTTTTGGCTTGTGCCTTTACGAGCTCAGCTGTCCAATAATTTACTTGCAAAAAATGTCGTATCATAAAAATGTGATTATCTTAACTTAAAACGTATTGCCTGAAGCACATTCAAAATATTATTTAATATGTATTGCTATTGAATGGGCCCTCGCAATCCTGACTTTGCAATGTTTACAACAATCTCGGATTTCTGTTTTTGATAGGTCCTTCAGGAATTCCTATTGCATATGATGTACCGGTTTCAAATGTGACTTGCAGTCACCTATAAGAGTGCATTAAGTTCAGAATTGTGGTATTCATCGAGCATCGTACGTAGCCAACCGTGCTAATCGTACGTAGCCGACCGAATAAGTTATAATTCACGGCCTTTTGTGAAATCTACCGCTGGATAAAGGACTCACCATGCCGCGTCGGTCATGGGAGTAGTTTGGCCATACTCTTAGGTTTTTTCGGTAAAGTCACGTAGGTAAAAAATAAAATAATAAATTAACAAAAGTAATAATAGAAATAAAAAATATATAATAAATCACTGATTTATTATTATTTATTATTTATAATAATAGAAATAAAATATTATTAATAATATAAATTAAATCAGTGATTTATTATTTTATTTTATTTCTATTATTGCTTTTATGAATTTTAATTTTATTTTTTACCTACGTGACTTTACCGGAAAAAACCTAAGAGTATGAATCCTTGCAGTCACGAAAGCTTCAAATCTAGAATTAGTTTGGCCATACTTCACCAGGTGAGTCACAGCGAGTTGGCGTAGTGGTGGGGGGGCAGGAGCAGTACGGATATCACTAAGCCACTGCCTCTCTCTCTCTCTTCCGTATGGCAGCTGATATAGATGCAGAGCAACGACTACAATTTCACACTCAGGTGGTCAAGCCAGCAGATAATCGCGTCAGGAGCAGCAGCGGAGAAGTGTATCGCTGTGATGTCTCCTTTCGTCATTTGTGTATCGGCTATTGCGTCGTTATATGTTCTACGGCCTGTTCTGGATGACCACAGTCGCGTTTTTAAATGTTTCCATTTGTGCATCGGTTATCTGCATCTGCCACGGTTTGGAGTGGACCACGAGCTTCGTGGAAGATCAAACCCACCGATGATGGAATAGAACTCTGGCCGACGAGTTCACAGTGCGGCGTACAAACACTTTCCTGACGTGCCCACTGGCCAACCATCTCATACGCTGTGTGGGAAGCCACGTGTGTGTTGATGGCATGGCTGTGCGCGTGTGTGTGTGGGCTCCACGTAACTTCCTGCCAGGTTGAGGCATAATTCCCGGATAGAGGTGAGGTCAGCGCTATGTTTGAAATACATTTAGGAAACATCTACAATCCGGTTTTTTTTTAGAACACAATGTATTATTGTTTAAAGCACTAGAATAGTGCGTAACAAAATCGAACCTATGCGAGCTTCTCACTGCACGGATTTTGTACGAGTTAAAAATCCGTGCAGTGTACTTCTCTATGAACTAGAACACACATTGTGGTATATAACGTGCATGCTATTAAATGCCATATCTTCCCTGTGCTTACCAACACCTCTTTAGAACCGTTTTAAACGTGGGTTTAATGCGTTGCACGATTTCACTTGGCACGTTGGATTTTGAAGCCACCGACCGACCGACCCGCCGACCCAACAGCTGACCCCACTGTTCGACCAACCCTCTGACCCACTGACCAACTCACCTACCCATCGACCTACTGACTGACAGACCGACCGGCCGACCGAACTCGCTGTTTGACCAAACATCCCGATCCTCTGAACCCACTGACTGATCGACCCATTGACCGACCCACTGAACGACCGACCACCCACTGACCCACCAACCATCCAACCGACGGTCCCACTGACCAACTGACTAACCCACCATTCAACCCACCGTCCGTCCCATTGACTGATCGACCGACCGTCCTGCCCATGGAGCCACGCGCGCTGTGCGGAACCGCTCACCGGACTGGAGCTGTGAGAATGTGCCCTCCGAGATCCCTTCGTCTCCGTCCACCACGATCGTGCGGGTCACTGTCGTTCCTGCCGTACGGGCGCAATCACAGCCACGCAAGCGGGTGGTTTAACGCGAGCACCGCCGCCTATTCCATGCGGCCAGAACCGGCCCTAGACCTTTGGGGGCCCTAAGCAAAATTTGGTTGGAGGCCCCTTTGATGTATGATTTTTTTCACCCACTAGCTAGCAGTGACTCTAGGGGGCCCTCTGCTGGCCACGGGGCCCTTTGCAATTGCAAGGGTCGCTTAGTGGCTGGGCCGGCTCTGCATGCGGCTAAACGCCAGCTGACCGCCACATGGCACAGGGGCCACGAGACATTCAGGAGGTATGGGAACATATTGGCGCGGTGATGATTGTAGGAAGGTATTTGTAGCCCGGTTGATTGTCAATTTTTTGGGGGATCATAACTGCATGTTTCACGTTTACCTCCTAGCAATGTCCACATTTATCTATTTTTTGTGCCCAAGAAGGAATGGACATGCATGGGGAAAAAATAAAAAAATGACTTATTCTGGACAAAACTGTCAATGCTGCTGACTTCAAAATTGTCACTGAACATTTACAAAGATTATGCTTTACAGATTACATTTTAATAGACCTGCAAAAATGGATCGTGAAACTTGGACTATGCTGAGCACAAACATGTATTTCTAGATGGTAACTGATGCTTGCTTAATCAGAGGCAAAGAAAACGTGTTTGTCCTACACCCATCAATTTGCTCACTGTTTAACTTAGGAGAAGGCTCGCAGAGTGTATCCAATAAGAAAATGGGCATTAGGTGCAGTGCATTGTTTGTATGAGCCATGACAAATGTCTGGACTATTTAATTGTATTCTATTTTGGATTAATAAAGCGCCTTTCACCAAGGCTCTTGACAATGCTTACTAGCTACGGCGCAGAACGGCAAGATAAGGATGGGGATCGCGTAGTGACGAGGGTGAAGGGAGCGAGGTGGAGGCTGCCACGGTGGAGGCGTTAGAGGCGTCAGGTGGTGCTGGCAGGGGTGGCAGGAAGAGGAAGGGAAAAGGCGGAGTAGAGAAAAGAGACAGGGCGTGAGGGCAGTGCGACAAGAGGAAGGCGAGGGGTGAGAGTCGGATGTGCAGAGGGAGTTCCAGTGTAAGGGGGCTAGCAGAGTGAAGGAGCGAAAGTGAGGCTAACACGTGCTTCATGTCATTGTAGTGCGTATTTAATGTGGCGCTGAACTCTGATGTTGTGGGAGAAAACATTTATTAAAAAGTCTATTTAATTACCGTAAGTAAAACTTGTTGTCTATATTTATTCAAAGTTGCGCATTTTGTTGTAGAGGGGCAAGGGCGTAGGCAGGGAGACCACAAATCTGGCTGGCGCCTGATGAAGCTGGTTGTAATTACTGGCGAAACGTCGTGCTCGGATTGTAAATATTGTGGCTTTGCTCTCCAACACACCGGTTAGTGCTGTCCTAGTAACGAATTGGCCACGTTCTGTTTACGTGACAAACCTTCCTAGTTGGCTGTGTCGGGTGGTGGCGGGTTTAACGACACATTTATACATTTACGCAATCTAACCCCCCAAAAAAATTATATTAGGGAGACTGAGTTGCAACAATCTAGACGAGTGAAGGCTCAGGGGGAGTGCACAAGAAGTTTGTCAGCGGTGATGAGGGGCGAATTTTCCTGATTCTGAACCGATGTAAGCGGCATGCGCCGGTGGCGTTGGCGATGTGGGAAGTGAAGGAAAATGAGGAATCGAAGGTGACGCCGAGAATTTGGACGGACGCGATCCAAGTTAGACTGAGTGGGGGGGGGGGGCAGGTGGTTTCAGGGAAAGGAAAGTTTGTGTCATCCATGCTTGGATGGCCGCCATGAGGCAGGATGCGATGTGTGGTGGGAAAGGTCCGGGGGTGTGAGCCTTGAAGGAAAAGATTTGAGTGTCGTCGGCGAATAGTTGATACGAGAGATTGAAAGAAGAAAGGATGGGCTTGAGGGGGCACGTGTAGAAGGTTGAATAGGAGATGACTTAGTGCAGAACCACGGGGGGGGGGGGGGGCGAACCGGGGCGTGGGGGGATGAAGAACCACGGCTTGAAAGAGGCAGCAGATGAACGGGAGGCGAGGTAAGAGCCGAGTCAATCACGTGGGGTGCCAGAGAAACCGCGATTAGACGGAGTGGATGGGATGATCGAGGGTGTCGAAAGCCGCAGACAGGTACGAGAGAAATTAGGGCAGACGAAAGGCTTGCTTTGAAGCTTTCGTGACTGCAGGAATCTATACTCTCTGGTTCTTTCGGTAAAGTCACGTAGGTATAAAAAAAGATAAAAAAACACACATTTCGGTCGCAACACAAGCGTCCGTCATTTACTTAGTACGCATGCATGTAAGTTGAAATTCTTTCGCACCGTACGTAGCCAACCGTGCTAATCGGAGGTGCGGGGAGAAGGATAATAAAGGAAACACAAAAGGCACTTCTAAATAAATGAGTTTTCCATTCAGATTTTAAAGTGCATAGCTCCAGTGGTGGCGGTGACCGTCTTTGTTCGATGGGCAGTCAAAAGCCGGTGCCGCAAGGATGACCGGGAAAAAAATTAGACAAAACCCATTCAGATCCTGCCAGGAATAAACACGAACCCTGCCGCCAAGCTTCACCACGAAACAATGGCACTGCTCCTTTGGAACCTCATTTGCCAGTTAAAAATCTGATAATTGTTATTTTACCCTTCTATCTGGCAACAAAACTAACACCTTTTTGTGTCAGTTTTGACAAGTTACACTGCCATGAGGCAGTGTCAGTTTTGTTGCCAGATAGAAGGGTAAAAAAACAATTATCATATTTTTTACTGGCAAATGAGGTTCCAATGGTGTAAATACTTACCCCGAGCTCTCATACTCTGATGGTGCATTGTCTTTCAGTTGTGCGCCTTTTGGCGTCATCTGGTCCAACACCATGTGAGACTAGGCTCTAAGGAAAGCTGTCTCGGGTGTGGACCAATCAACTTCAAGGAAAGTGCATACATTATTAGAGTTATGTTTTTTGTTTGCACTACGACCGCAGGTATTGTGGTCTATGCAAACATGACTCCTTGTAAAAAAAGGTGTCAGTTTTGTTGCCAGATAGAAGGTTAAAAACCAATTATCAATGGCACTGCTGCTATGCATGCAGCTGCCGGCAGTGGCGGGTTCTACGTCAGCCGATCGTATCGCAATATCGGCTGTTGTTCGGCGTGATGTCCGACGTTACGCCCCGCGTGCTGGGAGCTTCTTCAGGAACGGAATTCTCCGACGAAGCCCTCTGCACATGCGGCGGCACGCCGGGGCAAAGCGGCGAGCGGCACGCGGCACGACCAGCAAACAAATCGGGGCGCTGTGCGGCACGACCCGCAAACGCACACGCGGCAGTCTCGCGATGCCACGTGTGTTTTGTTTTGTCTGCGGTTCAACCACGCCACAGGTCGACGTGCAAAGTTGCGTTCGTATTGTTGCTCGACACGTCAGGATCAGAATCTTTAGTCGTCCTGGAGGAGACCGATGAGCTACGAAGCTGTTTAACGCCGCGGACGATGCCACTTTCAAATTTGGCGGCTGTCACTGTGAGATTTGGCACATTGCAAAGACCATGTTTGTGTTTGCGTTCTCTCTAATTGCACACAGCGGCGCGCTCCGTGATGGAATACACGCTCGCGGCGCCTTTTTTGACAACTCCCAAGAAGCCACCCACTAAGAGGCCATGGCGTCATCGCTCAGAACTTTTGTTCGGAGTGAGGCCAGCATATGTTTTTTTTTTACGTGGGGAGGAGTGGTTATTTTGTATGCGACGAGCAATTGGCGAACACTACATGGTAGCCCTTTGCAGAGAACCACAACGAGGCGAGGGTTTACGCTTTCTCGTTATGGCAGCTGTCGAGTGCAGGGCAGAGACAAAACGAATTTGTGATACTGCTTTGGCGGTGGTCCGCAAGCACAAGTAAAATGAAGCTCAACACATTTGTCAATAACGCTGTCCTAAAACAACACGGATGCAGTATTCCCTCGTTATTCTTGACGGATACGATCCGGAGATGCTCGTGAATTGCAAGTAACGCCGAGCAGGTAAATTAACATCGGTGAATCACCGTCAATCGCATTGACTTTACTTTTTGTGTCGTGTAAGCAGTTCCAGACGAGCCTAGTAGCAAAAGCAGCTACATATACTACGAGCCCCGCACTTTCAAGGGCCCCACGCTAAATGCTTTCAAGCTATCAATCCCGTCTTTGGTTCTTTCGGTAAAGTCACGTATAAAGATAAAATAATAAATAAAATAATAGCATACGACGTTTCGATTGCAACACAAGCAATCATCATCAGGTATTTTGTTGCTATTTTATTTATACCTGATGATGATTGCTTGTGTTGCAATCGAAACGTTGTGTGCTATTATTATATTTATTATTTTATCTTTATACGTGATTTTACCGAAAGAACCAAAGAGTAATTCCTGCAGTCACGAAAGCTCCAAATTAAGATACTATCAATCCTGGTTCAGTGATTCTGCACTTGCTCTATTACTATAGTACTATACCGCCTTCAACTTTTACGAACGACTGGTGTTCAAGGTTATCGATTTGTCCTATTATGTGGCTGTATAGCAAATTAAAAAATATAATTACTTAACTATGCAAGTAAAAAATTTGTGTTTTTAATATTAAAGTTTTTAATTAATTTAGGGCCCCTTTATAACATATGCTACAGGCCCCGCACTTAGCTTAATCCGACACTGCGTGTAAGCGTAGATATTTTTCTTCCCCCGAGCGTTACGTTGACGTGCGGCGTAAGAAACGTGAACAGTTTGCGTCGCTAGCCACCAATTGGCCTCGCAAAATTCCACGCTCGTTGCCTTTCACGAAGCGGCCTGCCGAACCAGCGCAGCGAGCACGTCTTAATGAACGCCCTCACGCAGGAGTTCGCGCGCACACACAAGAGAAGTGAACAAAAAGAAACCTCATCGGCAAAGTAAACCTACGTCACGCGCGTAAGGACACAAGGTTTACTAACCGCATAATGCACACATTCCAAGATAAATTCGTTATCCATTTGTTTGTTATCCTCGTGTTTTTAAGAGTTAGCTTTCTTTCTCTGACCAGGGGAAGAGGAAAAAAACCCGTGCACTGTTGTTAAGTCATAACGTGTTGAATCTGACTTGTTATAGGGGAAAAAAGCACAGAAGTGAATGAATGGTTCAAAACGATGGCCATATATTTGGTAAGCCTCCAGCCATGAGCAGTGGTGCAGGCGGTGCAAACGGCACCAGGGCCTATGGGCTCGAGGGGGCCTAAGCGCTGGGCCATGTAGAGCAGGGGTCCCCAACCCAACCGGGCCACGGACCGATACCGGTCCGTGGCCTGTTAGGAACCGGGCCGTACAGCAGGAGGTGAGAGCGGTGAGTCCGTGCGTGACCCACTTATTTTATTTATCACTTCCGTCCGCGCCTCTTTACCGCACTGCGCATTAGTCTCAGTCATAGTTGTGGTAAGCCCACAAGCTGCTAACCCCCTAGCCGAAATGAGTAACAAACAAACGTTGCTGGAGAGCTTCTTTGAAAAGGGGGAAAGACCCAATGATGAACCACCTCTCCTCCCCCCCCGGTCCGTGAAAAAATTGTCTTCCACGAAATCGGTCCCTGGTGCCAAAAAGGTTGTGGACCGCTGATGTAGAGGACGATGGGGTCCCGTTTCATTCCTTGCACCGCGTCCCCTGTCAACGACGCTCCCTCTAACTGGCCATGACCCTGTGCTCACTCTCTGCAATACTGTATTGACGTATTTTGTTGTTGTTTTGTTATCGTTGTCGCCGCTGTGTTCACGCGCCACCTCAATGCCATCAGCCATTATATCGCCGCTGCTGGATTAACGCGTCCTCAATCCACCACCAATCTCTCAGAGACTTGGAATGTAACACTTTGCCTGGCGCTTGCAAGCAATGCAATTCAGTCACTCCATTTCCACAGTCGATGTCCTCTCTCAGGCATGCTTCCTACGATGGCTGCCCCTCTAGAACTAAACTAAACTTTTTATTTCACCAGGTAGGGCCCACTTGGGCTATGTAGCTCTTTTTAGAAGCGACCTGGTCACAAATGACAGTTCAACGAAGCGGCTTATCATCACGTGGGCATTGATTGCAGCAGCCAAATACTCTAAACGCACGTTGATTCTAAATGTGGAGGGGAAAACCGGGGGACCCGGAGAAAAACCACGTAACCACGGCGAGAGAGAAATGCAACTCAAAATATATGGCAGCCGGCGTCAGGCGCCGGGATCGAACCCACGACCTCCTGCGTACCGGGCGAGGGGGTTAGCATCTCCTAGCCACCGCGGCACCACAAATAGCTGGGAAACTGGCTCATCGGGACCCTGTTTGTAACAATTGAACTTGAAACATTAAGTAAATAAAAAATATCATAATGTCATGAAAATGTTTATCACATCGTGTATACGCTTTCATCATATGTAAGGCTATCGTTTTGAAACACTATTTTACGGAGATGGCTTTGAATCGGTCCGGCATTCCGTTTGCATCATTGTATTGCATGGCACTTTGTGCAACCGTGCCACGCACAGAGTATGCAGTTATTATACTATTTAAGTCTTATTGTCATTAATATAAACTGGTGGCATTTTGCTTCGTGATATTTCGTAGGTACCTGTTTTTGACAGCGTGCTTCCTCCATCGATAATCTGAAACGAAACATCGGCGATGAGTATATTCCGTTTTTTGTTGATTTCATACCCCAACACACGAGCGTAATACTTCAAAGGGGTCTGAATTCGTTTTTCAAACCTCGACGTCGACCCCTTTGGCGTAAAGTAGTCAATAAATAAATAAATTACGCCATGTTTTCACCACAATATAGCGGTTACAGCGCATAATATACGGCGGTCCATAAGTGGTACATAACTTAGGTCCAGATGTTAAAACAAACTTTGTTCGGAAAGAAAGCAAATGGCACGGCCGTAGGAATGCACTTGTGATTAATAATGGCTAACACCTGGGCCACAGGAAGAGAAAATAACACAGAAAACCGAACTCTGGTATTCACCCAACTGAATTTGCGGCACAAGCATCACATGCAAGCATTGTGTGTACAGCGTGCTCGTGCATTTGTGCAGTACCTTCTGTGCGTGTGTTTTTTGTCCAGCAAAAACAACTTATTGACACTATTGTGTTCAGTTCAAATGTACATACATGAAAACAAAGCTATGTTTAACCTCGGCATGGTCTTAAATCGTAAACTGGTTATAAGGTTAGTGGGTTAGGGTCTCGGATTATCTCAGCTTAAATCAGTGACCGGTGCTGGAAGACGGTAGGCTAATGTCTCAGCCTCATTATTATTATCATCAGTAATGATGTATCTCATTGCGCCATCTCCTCCCGGGCGTGTTCCTTTCCTTCGGCTGCCGCTCCGTTGTTAATCTTAGACCACCGGCCGTTATCCCGTCTATCAACATATCCTGTCGAAGCACAATTACTTGTCCCAACTGTGGACAACAAGTCCTCTGTCCCACATGCTCCTCTTCCCGTCTCTCAGCCATAGAGACATTCTACACGTGTCCTTACCCCCACGCTTGCTCTCCGTGATTCACTTTTTGCCCCCCGTTTTTTTAATTCGAAATTTCGATGCCGCTGGCGAAGTCTCCTGTGACATCGTTCGTTCGCACCTCCGATTGGCTACGTAGGGCGCGAAAGAAGTTCGACAGACGCATTCGTCACGAGTATGCGTTGCTTTAAAAACTCGGGGAGGAGGGGGGGGGCTTCTGTGTTGTTTTTTTTACGACCGTGCATTCATTCAACAACTCATGGGGAACGAAGGTTCACTTGACATGTGTTTGCCTTAGCCGGGACCGTGAGTGGGTTGGCGAGTGTCAGTGTGAAGGCGGGGAGGTGTCCTTCGTCGTAGTCCTCGTCGTCACCTTGGTCCTGCCACCAACGTGGGTTGACCCCGAGGCAATCGAACTCTTGGAGAGTCCAAACTTGTTGCTGGTCGCAGCTAAGCAACAGAAACACACGTTTTTTTCAGTTTTTCTTTTCAAGCGTTGAGGCTTCGCTTGTTTTTTTTTCTCGTTCATGTGAAATTGCTTAACATCATATTTACTTTGCCTCTTAAAGTCTAATCATAGTCTGCCAAAACGCATCGTTGGCCAAGTGTTCGTATGGTGCCCTTGCCATCTGCTAATAATTTAGCATGCCTTGTCTATGCAATAAATAATAGTAATAATTTACTGTCCTGCCAGTCCAACGCGGGATGAAGGACTCCCTACAGCGTGCCGGTTATTGGGGTAGTTTGACCATATTTGACCACGCCGTTTAGCGCGGGTTGATGAAGCGAGGGGTGGGGGGGGGGGGCTGCAGTGGTTCGGTTTCTACTGCACTAATTACTGTCTCACCAATTCACTCGTTGTGTACGAAGAAAATAATTAGACTTCATAGAGTGGCTTCCGAAAAACAATTGGCGTCAGTTGAGGCGATTGATGTCAATGGGTTACATTGAAACTACATTAGAGTGTATATAGCAGTATTCATTAGAAACTTGATATATTATTGGTCATTAATTGCTGGCACATACTGTATCTGCTACGGTGACATAAGCAGTAACACGAATATGATTCATTATTTACTTATTGAAAAAAAAATACATAGAGCTGAATCATTAACTTGCAGGGGAGATCACGGAAACACCACCAACTTACCACCTTCATTATTTGTTTCGGGATTAAATCATTGAGCTATGACACTGGGACACCCAGGGAGGGCTTCTTTTGTGAACGATCTCACGGAGTCCTTCATGCACATTGGACAGCTGATCACATGCTTTCATAATTTCCTGGGTGGCTGTGGTGGGAATTGACCCATCAACCTCGTGAAAACCAACTCATTGCGTAAAGTGCTTACTCGTCAATTGTCTGACCACTCAAAATCTAACACATCGAGCCCAACGGATTACTTATGCCCAAATACCAATTATTTCAACTTGTAACACGTACAGCATTAGGGATAGAGAACAACTCAGAGGCGCAAGGAGCCACAGACAAGCTGAAAGGCAGCCACACGATGAGCTGGCACTTGTAATCGCCCAAGCTCTGCGGTCCACTATATAGGGAGGTGTTCTCAGCCGATTACTGAGCGTTTACACTCAGACAGCACCTGACTTCGGTGGTGATTGGTAGCTAAGCAGCGCTGAGTCTTAATAGTGCTTGCATAAGTGACCACCATGAATTACTGTTGTCAAGCTGTGGGGCTACGTTGTGGGCAGGCAGCAGATGGCAGTATGCAGAACATCGCTGTACTGTCTATGCTCTGCACATTCACCAACCGCGACTGTCCAGCACGGCGAAGTATTGGATTGCCTTGCTATCTCCATTAACCTGCAAGGCATGCGGAGGCCCTCATCTAGCAGTGCACTGACACTAAGATGTGTACAAGTACAATAGAATGCTTACAGGTTGGTGTCAGGACGCCATTGATGATGTGGATGGCACCGCTGGTCGCCATGAGATCACTTTCAACCACCTTCTTTCCGTTGACCAGAAACGAGCCATCTTTCTGTAAATGTAAGACGTAAAATAAATTAAACGATTCGCAATCAAATAAAACAAAATGGCTTCCACCCGTAGTTCATGGCGTGCATAGTGATGTGCGCTCAGTTGGTGGGCTTTTCATTAGCTTGTTTAAACTTTCCCCAAAATGTATTCCGACTGTGCTATCGGCACCATATAATGGGTTGTATCCCATTGGGAACGCTTACAAAGGGGAGTAATCGCGTATCTTAAAGAGCGGCCCACATAAGTAGATTTCACATAATTTCTCATGAGATCCATTTAAGTGACCTTTAAAAAAATCCATACACTAGGGATGCAGCCTATCACTTTGGCAGTCAAACTGATATAATTATATATAAAGATGGAATTTACCAAATTAAGTGATAAGCCAATTTTAATTTGATGGGCTATTATTGCAGTCATCTTTGGCAGGAGCTGAGATCATCACTTCGCTACATTTGAGAGTGTGACTTCAACGTGGACGGATGACACCCAGATTGACCCAGGGCCTCAGTAGTTGCCAGCTTATCGTTCTGACTCACAAGCCACCTCAATGTCATCATCAGCTATTATCTAGCCACTGGTGGATGAAGGCTGCCCCAAGCCACCACCATCTCTCACAGACGTGGAATGTAACAATCGGCCTAGCTCTTGTAAACAATACAATTCCGTCACTCCATTTCCACAGTCGATGTCCTCTCTCAGGCATATTTTCTCCCATGGCTGCCCCTCTAAAACTAAACTAAACTTTTTATTTCACCAGGTAAAGCGACCTGGTTATAACAAATGATAACTCAACGAAGTGGCTTGTCGCGGGGAAATTTAGAGCAGCGAACTACTCTGAATGCGTGTTTCTAAATGGGCAGGGAAAAACCGGAGGACCCGACGAAAAATCCATTCGACCACGGGGAGAACATACAAACTTCAAATATACAACAGCCACCAGGGTCGGGATCGAACCCACAACCTCCTGCATACCAGGCGAGGTAGTTAACATATCACCACTGGCCATCACCCCTTTCCGTGGCATGTCCTACCCAAGCCCTCTTGCCGTTCTTCACAGTCAATACGATATATTTCAGTTTAACACGAAGGCACGCCAACACACCGGTTAGTGCTGTACTAGTGACGAATTGGCTACGTTCTGTTTACGTGACAACCCCCTTACTAGTTGGCTGTGTCGGGTGGTGGCTGGTATAGCGACACATTTGTATATTTACGCGATCGCTTTGGCAGACTATGATTAGACTTTAAGAGGCAAAGTAAATATGATTTTAAGCAATTTCACATGAACCCCCCCCCCCCCAAAACACTTATGGACGATACATTTCACTCATGGACGTTCCCTAATTCACGCGCTCATCTTGCTGCCCTTCAGCGTAAGCCCCAAGCAGGCGGCGCCCTCCGACTCTTTGCCTGTCGCTGCGTGCGCCTCTAAAAACATACTCCGTGTGGTCACGTGCACTCACGCTGCTTTCGATCTCGAGCAGGCCTCCATGCAGGGTCCTCAGCACGTTTTTGGCCCCGCCGACGATGCCTCCGCTCACGAGCACCTCGCTAGCCAGGTGGAAGTTAAGAAGGGCTTCCAGCTCCTTGGGATTGCCTGTGGGGACGCGCACGCAGACGCCCGGGGTTTCAGAGTTTTCTTACCCTCCTCGGCCGATGCCGAGGCTCGTTTAATAATTATGTGCAGCTGTCCAGATTCGAACTCAGGATGTCAGCGATGCTGGCTCAGGGCTCTCAGCTTTGAGCCACCCTGAATCAACATCGTATGAACGGAGCAAACATCTATTTAAAAAAATAAATCATGTCGCTGACCCGTGACAATTCATCAAATTGTGCGGTCCGGGATATGCAGTGGTGAATCATCGCACGCTCCCCCCCTCCTACGATGAGCCCTGGGCAGCCTTTCGAAAAAAGCAAATCAAAACTCCACGGAGCTATTCAGCGTGGTTGAAGTTTGCTGGTAAGTGTTCATAATCATAAAAATAAACTGTTCAATTACCTGCTTTAGCCGCATATGCAGTGGCAAATTTGGGAAACTCAGACTGGGTCACTTGTGTCTGCTGACCCTAAGTTCTGACTTCAGCACAATTAATTCCCTGGGGACTCTGGATTGCATAACGCATGGCTCAGACCGGTGGAATGTGTACAGGATTACATTAAACACTTTAGGGGTCACCCTTAAGTATAACGCACTACGGGAAATGTACTATTTTACCTTAGGCAATGTCTTTAAAGGTGCCAGTATAAAAAACTTAGATATTTCGCTTAAGCGCAACACTCAACTAAAATGTTTCTCTTACATTAAGGGAATTTGACTTTAGGGTGTCACAATGAACGCCTTAAGAGTTTAACTAAAGGCCTTGATACATTCGTGAAATTGTATGGCGTGTCATTGGAAATTGTCGCTGCCAATTAATTTTTTCTCCAGGAACATGAACATGAATGGCGTAGAATTTGGCAACTATTGCCGAAGAAGGTTGCCCTAAAATTACCTTCGTGCACGATGACCTTCACGCAACGTAAGTATTTTCTCCTTTCAATAAAAACCCAGATCTGAGACTTCGCCCAGATCTGTGAGAATCAAACCCGCTGGGGCTGCCACTCATCCAGGAGATGGGAGTGCAGAAAGTGTGGGTTGTGTGAAGCAATCTGTGCGGAGCTTTTGAGCGTCATTGCCTTCACGTGCGTTGCTGTGTTTCCTCCCGGTGCTCCGATTTCCTACCCACGCACAAACCACTTTTAAAGGAAACTCAAGATTTCGTGAATTGGGAAATAATAGTTTTTTTTTTTATTTCGTTGTGTTATTAAGTGAAAATGAAAATTGAGGGATTGTATTCACTGTTTTTTTTTTACTCTGTTGCACAAAGCGGCGATTTCTTCAGGGGTCCCCTGGGGCAGAGCGAGGACTGTTGGCTGCGGGAGATCGGTGTGGCAAGCGCCTACCACGTGCGGTGACGTCAGTGGCATGGCTAGTCAGTGTGCAGGCGGTGCAGCCGCGAGAGGGGAAAGGTGGATGGGGGGGGGGGGGGGTGGTGGGGGTGGGGGGAACGAAGTGACGGATGGAGGATTCCGTTATGAGCAGAAGGGGCCCGATGCCAATGGCGCAAACTCGACACAGCCGAGGTAAGTGCCAGTCTGCATTGGCAATCAAAGCACTTTGGTGGGGGGGTCGTAAAACTCTGGCAGTTTCGCGAGCCCACGCCAGACAAAAGCGGAGGGTGTTTGTGAAATCGTGGGCACTATTTGCTCACGAAAATAAAAATAAAACTTTAGTGGGAACAAATGTTTCTCTGCGTCTCTCCTCCATATTTATGATTTCAGGGCAATATGCGACTCGCCCTGTCAGCATTACTTTCACTTTGACGAGGTGGGGGGGTCAATGAACGCGCTGCGAATCTCCACAGCAATTAAACCCCTCCCCCTCACCCCCAAAAATTGCTGTGGTCACAAAAAGTGATACACTTTAACCTTACTGAACGCAATGGAAATATAAATACCGTTACGCACAGTGGATTATTTTTGTACTATTTTAATGCCTTGTTTGTGTTGCGTGTGTATTTGTCCTGTAGCTTTCATTCCGTTAGTTCTAAAGGTAACGTCTAATTATTTAAATTGTCTGAACTTTGTGAGTTCACTGTTGAATGATGGCCTCCCCACACGGTCACGTGGTTTGTTTGACCATACTTCACCCTGCTGGTTAATGTGCATACACTCAATAAGCAATGCATGCATTGCTGGAGTGCAAGACTTGATTTTCATTGCTAAAGTGAAGTTTGGTGACAATACAATACGTAACAACACAATATAAATGTTTTCAATGTGTGGTATCTAAATGTGACCTCACATCAAGACGCATGATTAACAAAGGCTGGATGGTTCTTTAACAAAAAAAATGGGTTATATAAATATTCTTAGGCTTTTTCGGTAAAGTCACGTAGGTAAAAAATTAAAATTAATAAAAGTAAAATAAAAAAAGGTTCAGTCCTTTGTTATGTAGACTAGCCGTAGTCTCAAGCCGCACCAACCTTACCATAATAATAAAAAGGGGGCCTGTACTGGCTCATCCCCCCCCCCCCTCAACCAGTATATATACGGGATAGTATCTCTTGGAATTTCTCATTTACTTGATACAGCAAGCGTGCTGTGACGGTTCCACCTGAAGACGGAGGCTTGTGTTGCCTCCGAAACGTCGTGATTTTTCTTTTTTTCTATTTTTATTTATTTGACTTTTATTAATTTTAATTTTATTTTTTTAGCTACGTGACTTTACCGAAAAAAAAACTCTAAGAATATGAATCCTTGCAGTCACGAAAGCTTCAAATCTAGGGTTATATAAACTCTGCATTGATTCGTGTTTAGGGAAGTCTGCCACAGTAGTGTAATGGTTAGTGGCACTCTGGACTTGCAATCCAGGGGCTGCCGGTTCAATCTCCTGGCGTGACAGCTGAAAGAATGCTGCAAATGTCCTAAATCCTGCCTCTGTCCACCCTGCAGTCTAAATTGGTACATCACAGTCTTTCGGCGGGATATGTGGATGGGTTAAAGTGTTGTTACTCTCACCTCTTACAAGATGTGTTGGCCAGCGTGAAAGAGTCTACTAAAATACCCTCTAGACTAGGGGGGGGGGGAGGCTAGAACTGCCTCTAGTAGATACTCTTCTGCCAGCAATGGCACGAGTTGAGAAATTGCAGGTCTCCACCTTTGCCTTTTATTGCAACAAGCTGAAGTCTTTGCGGCGTCTTTCGATCATTACTGATACACGAGAATAACAGCGTGGTGGCAAAGAGTAAGGTTCTTGAAGCCATGAAAGCTGAGCAAGGAAGAGAGAGAGAAGAGGTTGTAAATCGTAACGACGTGCTTCGTGATGAAAGAAAGACACACCCGAGGCAAACGCACCCTTTAGCCTGTTCAGCTCGGCCTTGGGCAGAGCAGCAAAGGCCTCGTTTGTTGGAGCGAAGAGAGTCAGGCGACCGCCACTTCGAAGTTTCTCCGTGAGCCCCGCGGTCTTTATCAGCTCGACCAGAGTGCTGCGGGGGATGAAAGCCACAAAATAAAAGCAAAAGACGGCGCACGTGAAAGACATTTGTGTGCCTCTCGCAGTCTGGGAATACTTAGCGGGGGGTTAATGTGCGGCAGCTGCATATTTGTACAGCTCGGGGAGGTTGGAGATCAACCGGCTCTCCCAGTGGGGTTTTAATTAGAATATCAGTCAGGATTAATGATGGCTCTGGACTACGGGCTGCAGGTTCACGTTTGTTCGTGGGGCTCAGCGTCGAGGGCTCGTGCCGCTGTAAGAAGAAGTGGAGGTTGGGCCCCTTTTTGTTTTTTATTGCAAACGTATGGTTGGTCGTAATTATTGTTGCCCAGGGTTCGTGTAATTTCAATTTACTTATTACAATAAGCAGAGGCTAAAAATATGTGCCACCATTGTGAATAACAAACACCGCCTTGTAATTGAATTATACAACAGGTCAATGTGTTAGGAAATAGCCCCTTTGCATAACAGAATATCATCGGTTTAGCTTGAGTAATAATAATTTTCATTACATTTCGCAACTAAATACCTACGTGCATCAAGCTGCTGTACAAAGAAAGAATATATTAACAGAGACAGCACATTCAGATAAAATGCATATGGCATTCCCACCACCACCATCACGCTGCTACTGCTACTACCGTTGTTTTTCTCAAGAGTGGAGCTCGAAGGTTTGGGAGATGCTGTACTAGTTGAATTAAGGATTGTGGTAATTGAGTATGGCTTCATGGTGTGGCATTGCTCTTTGATTCGTGTTAGACACCGGGTGAAATGTCACGCCTTGGCCAATGTCCCCTTTAAACTGGGACTGGGGGTAAACCAGTAGCGTAATCGCTTCACTGTTTTAATCAAGATGTGCATGTGGTCCAGCGAGTTTGGCATTCTTCGCGGTCATTAAATCATAGATCGCACGCGCACACACACATACACGGGGCTTCATTTCTGCCGGGTATGTCCAAATCGGCGACCCGGAAAATAGTTGAGCACCCAGAACGCCACATCCATCATACTATTAAACTATACTATTATTAAACTATTTTTTATTTTACCAGGTAAGGTCCACTGAGATATGTAGCTCTTTTTCAGAAGCGACCTGGCCACAAACGATAGCTCAACGAAGTGGCTTATCACGTGGAATTGTCAGCAGCCAAATACTCTATAAACGCGTGCTGATTCTAAATGCGGAGGGAAAATCCGGAGGACCTGGAGAAAAATCCATACGACCACGGGGAGGACATGCAAACTCTAAATCTACAGCAGGCGTCAGGGTCGGGATCGAACCGACCGCCTCCTGCACACCAGGCGAGGTAGTTAACATCTCGCCACCGCTCGCGGCTTGTGGCTTCTACTCGGCACGTGGCGAGCACACCAGTCCTGACCGACGGCCCGGGATAATATTGAGGGAAAGACGAAGTCGTGCCTGATGGCACGCTCACCTGAAGCGACGATCTGCCTGAAGAATCTCGAGAAACGAGCGTACGGGGACCTGGATGAGTTTGTTGATCACGTGCAAGATTCCCAGCCGGCCCTCCTTGCCCATGGTGGAGACGCAAGAGTTTTCGATGCAGATTGCCTGCGAGAAATTTCCCGTTAGAGTGACGGTGTTAAATGACCATCAATCAACATTTTGCTGATACAGATATTTTGCTGTGACAGTTTCACCTGAAGACGGAAGCTTGTGTTGCCTCCGAAACGTCGTGATTTTATTTTTTTTATTTTTTATTTTTATTAATTTTAATTTCATTTTTTACCCACGTGACTTTACCGAAAGAACTAAGAGTATGAATCCTTGCAGTCACGAAAGCTTCAAATCTAGAAACATTTTGCTGCTTAATATCATTCCTCACACGAGTGTCAAACATTTGCCGCATGTGCCGACGGAATTAAGAGGTACGACTGAGCAGTGCGCTGCGCTGCCTTTTGCGTTTAACTCCTTGTCCTTCCCCCGTGCCTCCAATTACGTACGGTGCGAAAGAAGCTCAACATACGTAGATAGACATAGGGGCCGTCCATAAATGACGTCACGCGATTTTGGACGATTTTTGACCCCCCCCCCCCCCAACGTCGCACGGCGTCACAAAAAGTCAGACCCCTCCCTTAAATATGACGTCACAAAGCTCTGCCCCCCCATCCCCCCCAAAAATAAAACATACTTCAAATAGCTTTAAACTATTGTCATTGTAATGCGTATTTAATGTGGCGCTGCACTCTGATGTTGTAGGAGAACATATTTATTAAAACGTCTATTAAATTAAGTAGAACGTGCTGTCTATATTTATCTAAAGTTGCGCATTTTTATGTGACGTCACACTTTTCAAATACCCCTCCGCCCCTCGTCACATATCGTCACAAATATCTGACCCCCCCCCCCAGGTGCGTGACGTCATTTATGGACGGCCCCATACATACGTAGGCAGTAGCATGCGTGAGCTTGGGATCACAACAAGTGTCCAAGACCACCAATAACTTTGCATCCACAGGGCCTCGGGTGCAACTCAACATTCTGGATTGATTGTTTTTAAGGTCACGGCCTGCTGGGTTTATTTCATTGCCAGTCAACCGAGGCACTGCGAGTTTAAAGACAATCGCTCAACACTTTCTGGTTGCTCAACGGAGTTGAAGCATAGAGTCATAGTGGAGGCAGTGAGTCGTAGTCGAGGCTTAGAGTCGAGGCTTAGAGTCGTAGTCGAGGCATAGACGCACAGAAGACGTGGAGTGGATACCGAACGACCTGTGAATATGAACAGCTTCGAATGAGATTGTCAGCCGTTGACTTTGACACTTAAAGCAACGAATTGGGAGGAGGGCGATCCAAGAAAACTGAAACTTTCACTTTTCCATTTGCATAGTGAGTGGCACCCTAATTGTGGGGGGGTATAGTAAACTAACAAACAGACCAACTCGTGTATTGCGACACCGTAGTATGCTTAAGATATACAAAGTATTTGACAACGTTTCACATGTAGGCTTTCAAGAACGATATCATCCATAATCCAGGTTTTTTTGGGGATAGATCGTGTAAAAATATGAATGAGTCGTTAAAACCGGTCACGTAAACAGAACGTGCCAATTCGTTACTAGTACAGCACACCGCATTCATTAATCCCCCCCACCACCCACATCGTTCAAGAAGTGCTCACAAGTGATGCCATCACATCTGCCCCTCTATTTAAGTAACGAAACAAGATGATGTCTCCACAAATCTGGCTGTCACCTGATGAAGCTAGTTGTAACTACTGACGAAAAACATCGTACTCAGATTGTAAATGTTGTGGATTTACTCTCCAACACTGTACTAGTAACGAATTGGCACGTTCTGTTTACGTGACAAATCTTACTAGTTGGTTGTGTCGGGTGGTGGCGGGTTTAAAGACACATTTACATATTTACACGGTCTAACCCAAAAAAACCTCTACTCTATTTAACAAAGGTTTGAAAGAGGTGGATTTTCATCCTCATCGTAAATTCCGATGGATTTTTTTCCCGAGGGACTTTTCTGAAACACAGGAAAGACCCATTCGTGTTAATGTTCAGCATTGTTGCTGCATTCTGTCTTGTATTCCACAGGCTCTCAGTGGGCCATAAATACAGAATACACCTTACCGGGGTATTCATTAAAAATAAACACTGCAAAAGGAACATTTAATTTTGTCAAATGCCATGATACAATGTTTTTTTTTTTTTAAAATGGCAATGCTGTACCATGTACCAAGTGGCGATGTATATTCCAATATGGCTCAAGAGTAATGTTTCTGGATGGGACATTTGATAGTTTGAACTGCAAAACTTTGTAAGGAATTTAAGAAATGATGGTGGGGAAAATTGCATTCAGCACAGTTACAATTGGGATTGATGCACAGCAGAATATTAATAATTTGTATTTCTAAAGGGAAAAAAACACATCCATATGAATCTATTTATTCATTATACATGTTCGTGTCACCTTTTCATTACTTATAATACTGTTAGTTTATGGAAAATTGTTCGTCCAATAATTATATTTTAGTAAATATATGAGCAATGTCGTAGAAATCTGAGCATTGGACACACACAGTTCATCTTTGTCAAATGCAAGCTACTGGACATCGGTGAAAAAAGCTTCATAGCTCATCGGATTCCTCCTTCAGTCTAAATAAATATTCTGATTCTGAAGTTTGTTTTGGAGAGCGAGTGGCCTGACCTGGCGAACAGGCAAAGGTTATTTAATGGAGTGATTGACGAGTTATGATTGGTTTCTAGGGACATCTTTTGATGGAGAACTGCATTACAGTGCTTTAATAATAATAATACTACTACTGCTATTGCCTCATTGAAAGATACCTGTTGTTATGATCGCCATACCCACGATTGATGCGCTGAAAGATGTTTGAATGCTTGTACAGAATTCCACTTTCAACTCAAGAACAAAAAGCGGAACAAGGATTAGCCCCCGTGCAGACGGTCACTTCCCTGCGTGGACAGCTACATTGTTGGGGCTACGGAGAATAAAGCGTCTACCGAAGCTAGTCTCATCTTCACGATGTTTACGTATTCTTGGTTCTTTCGGTAAAGTCACGTAAAAGGAAAATAATAATATAAATATAAAACAATAAAAATTCTCACGACGTTTCGATTGCAACACAAGCAATCATCATCGCAATTGTAAACAATTGCAATGTGACGCTGTTGGAACAAACAAACAAAAATGTCGTGTATATTATTGATGGACAAGCGCTTAAAGGTCAATTTTGTCCGGAATCGAATGTTCACGCGCCTCTTGTGGGTCAACATGCTGTTCAGGGATTCAATTCTCATGGAATATTATCGAGGCTCCCCCCACTCATGAGCCACTCCCCACTCACACAGCCCTGACAGTAGGGGGTGGGGGAGGGGGCAGGCAAATATTTTCTGTAACTCAGCCCCGGACAACTCCAGCAGAAATGAAACTGTGGGGGGGGGGGGGGGGGGGTGCAGTGTGATCCCCGAACCTTTCTGTAGATGAAGATGCGGATCTTCTTTCCGCCCAGGGTCTCGAGCTCCTGGCCGTTGTAGAGCTGGTACAGCGAGACCTGCCCCTTGATCACGTGGTTCTTGAGCAACTCCGCGATGTCGTCGGACAGCTCGAAGATCGTGGTGTCTTGACGCGGTCAACAAAAATAAACAACAAATAAAAACAACTCGTCAGTTCAGCCGCTCGGCAGGAAAGGCGACCGTTGGAAAGGCGACGCTCGATCTCAACGTGGAATAAAGCGCCAAACCGCAATGGCAGTGACATCAAATCTTGTCAACGAGATGCAACGTGTATGCGTGTGTGTCATTACATCCGCAAAAATGAATTGTGTACATTTTTTTTAAATCATCAGTTGTAATGTTTACGAATTGCGATAGAGCAACACTAGATTTGATCTCAACAACAACAACAACGACGACGACGACCATGCCGAGAGTTTATGATCACTACTTTTATCCATGCTTCTCTGCATTGTCTGATGAGTAAGAGGGCTTAGATTAACCCGGCATGTGAATTACATTCTTGGCCATGGCCGAACATCGGTGGCGAGTGACATGGGAAGCAGTTTTTGGCCACCGCACCTTCACCAGCCCACGCTTATCATTTACATTTCCACATGGTAAGTCACTTCGTTGAGCTATCATTTGTGGCCAGGTTGCTTCTGAAAAATAAGTTCATACCTCCGTGGGCTTTGCCTGGTAGGATGGGGATAGTTTAGTTTCATGTTTGTATATTTTTGGGTGATTTGCCTGCCTCTCCTGTACTTTGCACTACTATTGTACTGTTTGTTCATGTTGTAACGTGCTTACCCCGTGCTCCTACTGGTCATCTGTGAAAAACAGCTTTATAACTCATCGGATTCTTCCAGTAGAAATAAATATGCTGATTCTGGTCAAACAACCCCAATGACTCACACAGTATGGGAGGTCCTTCATCCAGCGTTGCATTTACAAAAGGGCTCCACATTATATTATGTATTTTTATTTATTTGGATTTACAACAGTACATGTTTTATTATGGCCCCTCCAGATGGTGTTTATTCTCTCTGCATCACTGATAATCAGCATCATGCAGCGGACAACAGCAAATTAAAAACGAGCAGCCAAAACGCAGCCCATGGAAACATTGAATAAATATACACGAGGGCCAATGTGGCTCCTCCATCTATGTATAATGTGAAAAACACAGCGTTACAGGGTCATTGCATTGTCTAAGGTCAATCAGTTTAGTCTCAAGTCTTTTTGTTTCACATTTTCACCAAGATTCTGTAGACCACGGCATTGCAGATGGCTCTGCTTGAAATTGAGAGCAACTGTTCTTGTCTCTATAGTTATTCGTATTTCTATTATTACAACCAGTTATGTATTGCTTGATCTATTTTGTCCATATGCAAATGTATAGTAATCGGTTATTATAATCGCTTACCAACCAAAACCGGTTGTCAGATCAAGTTCTTAATCGTGTGCCGCTCAGTATAAGTCAATGGCATAGCTATCGAGTGTGTAAGCGGTGCAACTGCACCAAGTCTCATAGGGTATAGGGGCCTGGGTTCTGGGCTACAGAAGGGATGAAATCTATATGGGACCCCCATTTGATTCCTTGCACCAGGGCAATGCCAATCACGCGATGTCTCTGATCACGGAATGTCCCTTTTTAAATCGACATCGAAAACTCACGTCTTTAAAACTGCTTATTGTGTTTAGTTTGTTGTCCTTCCCCCGCACCTCTGAATATCACGGTTGGCTACGTACGGTTCAAAAGAAATTCAACATATATAAATACCATATAAATAATGATGATAGACAAAGGCACAGCCTTGCAATAACTTGCTCATGCCATTGCTGTCCAAAGTGCCTCCATTACATGATATTTAGAGAGTCCCTTTGGAGAATTGTTTGGCCTACTTGACAATGCTGGCCAGACGTCTTGGAAGAGGTTGGAATACTCTCACTTTACCCTGCCGAATGACTAACCATGGTAAAACTGTGGTGTTACTGTGGTGTACTCATACTGCTGGGTGGACAGAGGTGGAGGGGTGGGGTGGGGGGAAGAATGAATAAACTTGTTGCACATACCGTGCCAGGAGATGGAATCGAACCGGTGACATCTGTGTTGCAAGTACACATGTTCTAACCATTACACCACAGCAACCACCCTTAACAGCGGTGATGTTGGTGATGAAAACAAAGTGTTGCAAAATAAAAAATAACACATTTGTCGCAAATACACACATCAATGGCAACGTTTCAGGCAATGGCTCTTCCACAAAGCGCATAAAATAACAATGAGTATGTACGAGCCAATTTCCCGAAAGGTCATCGATTATGCATGTTTCATCTTAAGGCAGTGCCGTCAACGAATGTGTTGAGATTTTCCTTTTGTTTTGCCCGTGGTGCTTGCCAATGCCTGCACGGGCAGGAGGATGAGGAGGAAGGGGAGGGGGGGGCCCAACGCGGACACGCGTACCGGTGAAGGCCTCGTTCTTCGGAGCGAGGAGGGTGTACGCCTCTCCCGGCTTCAGGGAGCCCTTGAGGCCAGCCTCGGCGAACATGTCGATGAAGCTAGTGACGCCGGCCGAATCGGCCAGCTCAAACACGGACTTGGCTGTGGGGGATGGCGGTAGAGGGGCGGGGGGCGGGTGGCAAGGTGTGTCAAACCCACGCACATGTGCAGTGAGCAATATATATGTGAACAAAACTAAACAAAAAAATTTGCAATTAATCTCGCGGTCGTAAAAAAAATATACATATTTTGTTGCCTCTGAGCGCGAGGGGGCTAAGTGCGAAAGTAATCGGACTACCGTAAGCAAAACATGCCGCGTGCATTTATTTTCTTACGGGGCACTTTTAGTGCGGCGTTGCAACGCGATCTTAAGTAAGATGGATTTTGTCGCGAAACAGCGCTGCAGTCGGTGATTTCACTTTGGCCGCCTTTGTTAAGCGTTTGAATGAACTTATTTTACCTAACTGTTAACAATTGTATTAACATGCACATTGTCAGAGGCTTGATGGATTATTATTGATGGGGTTTTTTTTTTCAGTGGGCTAACTTACTGAAACAGTAAGTGAGCTTGGTCCAAACACATGCATGTGCTGTATGTATGCTGAACTTCTTTCGCACCGTACGTAGCCAACCGCGCTAATCGGAGGTGCGGGGGAAGGACAACAAACTACAGGCAAAGAGCAGCTTCTAAAGAAAAGCGTTTTCAATCGAGATTCAAAAGTGCATAGCTCCAGTGGCTTCCTAATTTCAGAAAAAAAATTGCTTCGAATCACGAAGAGGGGATGATGATGGCCGATGGATAAGACCGGCGATGGAACGGTAGCCAAAGGACGGAAGGTCCGTATAAGCCACGGACTATAAAAGCCGGACCTCTGAACGGTCCAGGCAGTCGTCATCCACCCGAAGATCAAGAGCCTCGTGAAGAGAAGAGCCCACGGGCAGAGCCATACCCCTGGCAAGGTTCGGCTCCAGCTTACATACCAGTGAAGACCAACAAGCTTCACTCAAGAAGGCCTAGAATAGCCAGTGAGAGGAGTATGGGGTGTAAGGGGCCGTTGCCCCCTTTGTGTTAGCGATTATTTGTCAATAAAAATACGTGTTGCCTCAGAGCGACTCTCCACTAGTTATTGACACACTGCATATGAATTACGATTTAAAGCTTTCGTGACTGCAGGGATTCATCTTCTTGGTTCTTTCGGTAAAGTCACGTAGAAGGGAAATAATAAAAATATAATTCTCACGACGTTTCGGCCACAACGCAAGCAGCCGTCTCTGTCTTCTCGACAGCCCTGTTCTCCACCTGAGGACGGCTGCTTGCGTTGTGGCCGAAACGTCGTGAGAATTATTTTATTCTGTTTTATTTTTATTATTTTATTATTTCCCTTCTACGTGACTTTACTGAAAGAACCAAGAAGACACTGCATATGTATATTGCACTTCTTTCTCACCGTACATAGCCAGCCACCGCCGGGCGGAGAGGGAAAGGGGGGGTGAGAACAACAAAACTTAACGGTCCCCCACCCCCCAAAAAAAAAACTTCTGAAGCAACGAGTCACCCGATTTGCCGAGCGCTCGAAACGGGGGAGAGGTGGAGGGGGGGAGGGATTTAATTTCCACGAACCTGAGTTGGGCACTAGAACATCGTCGATGAGGTGCACCACGCCGTTGCGTGCTAGCACATCCTTCTTGGTGACGATGGCCTTGCCGTTGAGCGTCAGCTTGTCGCCGTCGCAGCCGACCGTCAGAGGCGTCCCCTCCAAACTCTCGAGATTTGCGTTGCTCAGCACGGCCTCGGAGCACTGGAGGCTGTCCACCATGTGATTGTTGAGCAGGGCTGCGCGCGTGGATGCGGGGTGTTGGGAGGGGTGGGGGGTGAGACGCGTGAACGCATTGTTCGAGAGGCGAGCAGAGCGCTGCACGCATTGTTGCGTCCGGCTCGCTGTCGTTCGATGTGCACGTTTGGCTGTGCACGGTGCGAGAGAAGCTCACGTTACTCGATGTTTTAGGAGACGCTGTGTGTTTGAAGAACAGCGCAGGCACGGCAGGCACGGCTGTTCACGAACGGGGAATGAACGAGTCGGCCCTTTTTTTGAATGTGGCAAAGTGCGATCTGCTCATCGTACAGCCGCCAATCGCTGCCCATTGCGTGTGTGTACGTTGAACTTTTTTTCGCACCGTACGTAGCCAACCGTGCTAATGGGAGGGCCAAACTTAACACAAAAATAATCTGTTCTAAAGAAATTAGTTTTCGATCTAAAAGTGCATCACTCAAGTGGCTTCCCGACAATGTACACTTACACACAGAAGGTTATCTTTCTGTTGTATTTAACTCATCATTTCACATTGATTGGATTAATCGTCGCAACTTACAGTTATAACGTCAAGCGCTCCTCAGATGCCATCCAGAAGTGAGACTGAATAATTGACGATAATAATTTTGCACGTTTGGTATTCGCGTCCTCTTCATCGCGTTCGGCGATCACGAACGCGTCATTGTCACGGACGGGTTTCGTCTGCAGGTAGGATCGAGGGCAATGTTGCTGTGTGGTTGTTAGCGGCTGAAGTGATCTGCTGGTCATTTTTCAAATCTGGCAAATTTGGACAGTGACTACTCTCTCTGATTTTCGAACAATGTCACGGGAACTTTTGACGCCCACCGCGACGCAGGCGGCGCGTGTTTATAGTTGGCATCCTGAACAGGTGATTGCTAACAACGCTTGTCCTGAAGATATCTGAGACTAGATGGCAGTTCTTGGCATTTTAACAATGTCATCCATCACCTTTGGAGTGGAGCAATGGCACCCTGGCCCTGAGTTCGATTCCCAGCCATGGCTAATATCTGAACCTGTCCTGGTCACTATAGTTGGAGTTTGACTTCTCTATTGGGGGGGGGGGGGGGGGGGGGTGCGGGGGGGGGGGGGCTTGACCCCCCCGTGCCCCCCCCGCACCCTCTTCACCAGCCTGCACTGACCAGCGTGGTGAAGTATGGTCAAAAAAACCATCACGGCCAAAACGGCGTGGAGAGGTTTTCACCCAGGCATGCATTGACAAGGGCCTGCAAACTAAACCCGTAATTTTATTATTATTTTTTAACAAGATTCCTCTACCTTTCAGTGCAATGGGATCGGACAGGATCCTCTGCAGGACTTCAGTGGGGAGCTTCTCGAAGGCCTCGTTGGTCGGAGCGAAGAAAGTGACGGCGCCGTCCTTCTCCAGGTCGTCCAGCAGGCCAGCCTCTGCCACTGCAGCCTGGAGAATGTTCAGCGGGAGAGGGTGTGTGTGTGTGGGGGAGTGTGTGTGTGTGTGTGTGCGGGGGAGTGTGTGTGTGTGTGTGGGAGTGTGTGTGTGGGTGTGTGTGTGTGTGCGGGGGAGTGTGTGTAGATGTGTGTGTGTGGGGGTGTGTGGGAGTGTGTGTGTGTGTGTGGGGGGGTGTGTGTGTATGTGTGTGCGTGGGAGTGTGTGTGTGCGGGAGAGTGTGTGTGTGTGGGTGAGTGTGTGTGTGTGCGGGTGTGTGTGTGTGTGCATGGGAGTGTGTGTGTGTGTGTGTGCGTGGGAGTGTGTGTGTGTGTGTGCGGGGGAGTGTGGGTGTGTGTGTGCGGGTGTGTGTGTGTGCGGGTGTGTGTGTGTGTGCGTGGGAGTGTGTGTGTGTGCGTGGGAGTGTGTGTGTGTGTGCGGGGGAGTGTGTGTGCGGGTGTGTGTGTGTGCGGGTGTGTGTGTGTGCGTGGGAGTGTGTGTGTGCGGGGGAGTGTGTGTGTGGGGGTGTGTGTGTGTGGGAGTGTGTGTGTGTGGGAGTGTGTGTGCGGGGGAGTGTGTGTGCGGGTGTGTGTGCGGGTGTGTGTGTGTGCGTGGGAGTGTGTGTGTGTGCGGGGGAGTGTGTGTGTGGGGGTGTGTGTGTGTGGGAGTGTGTGTGTGGGGGAGCGGTAGTGTAGCGGTTAGCGCGCTGCGCTATGAACCTGGCGACCCGGGTTCGATTCCCGCTCACGGCTAACACCAGTGACGATTATCTGAACCGGTCCTGGGCCCCCCCTAGGTCGACTCAGCCTTAAATGAGTACCTGGTGCGGTGTGTAAACATCGCCACTAGGGAGACAAAGGCGGTCGGGCGTGGTGCTGGCCACCCACCCCCTCGTGTACCGTTCCGGCCTTCATAGGTGCTCGCTAACAGCACTTGCCCCTACAGTCTGTTCAGGCTATACGGGGGATCTTTATCTTTGTGTGGGGGAGTGTGTGTGTGTGCGGGGGGGAGTGTGTGTGTGTGCGGGGGAGTGTGTGTGTGGGTGTGTGTGTGTGCGGGGGAGTGTGTGTGTTATAAAAATAATTACGAAACGTGCGGTTAACATCTACATGCACTGTTGCAGTCCCATAGTGGCAATGGCGATGTGCACCCCTCCTTACTTCAGTGTACAAGCGATCATGGTGAAACACATTTTTGTAAATATTTTACTCTCTTGACTATTCTTCTCTGTGCTTCACCATCCCACACTGGCCAGGCATAGTAAGGTATGGTCAAGCAACCCCTCGTGACCAAAAGGCGTGGGGAGGCCTTGTTACAGCAGTGCATTGATACGCAGCTTCTAATACTGGTAGGTACCACCTGGTTCCACCAGCCCACAGGGGATTATTGTGTCCGTCCGTCCGTCGTGCAGGGAGGGGCTGGGTGGGGGGGGAGGGGCTGGGTGGGGAGGGGAGGGTGGGGAGGGGTGGGGAGAGGAGGGTAGGGAGGGGTTGGGAGGGGAGGGTGGGGAGGGGCTGGGTGGGGAGGGTGGGGCTGGGTGGGGGGTGGGAGGGGTGGGGCTGGGTGGGGAGGGGCTGGTCACCCCGTGGTGCCCTTATAAAACTCAACGTTTAATCTACTCACGCCGGCTTGTGCCCGCCCTCACAGTCGGCCATATTTTCGGAATACACCACGCCGCCGTTGATCCTGACCATTGACCGAGCAACCCAACGTTCCTACCAGTTCCTTCCGCAGGAATGTGTTATATTATTCTATTATTATTAAGTTGCATTACGTATTTGAGATTACCGCAGAGTAGGTGGTAAGTGCTCGTGCGTGCGTGCGCGCCTCTTAGTGGGTGCTTGTGCGCGTGCTTTTCGCGTGTCACTTGAGCAATGTTGGCACAACAACAGACGGGGCTTTAGAAGTAAAATAACTTCCAAGCCGATGGTGACCTTCAGATAACCCGATTAGTTATCGGAAAGCAAGATGTTCTTAAGGCATGCCGTTTTTTGACGTTTAAATATATATTTTTTCTCATGCAACAGCTCTCATTAGTACGCGTTCAGATAAACTGTTTACTCATGATTAAAACATGGTTCAGGAGTTACAATTTTTTTCAATGTACAGTCATTAATAAATCCGTTGCTGAATCAACGCATCAGCAGGTCATGTTAGTCGCGGGCATGGTTCAGTGTGGGTTGATAAAGGGAGGCCCAGGACTGCTTCAGATGTCATTCAGATTTCAGTTCAGGTCATCGGGTTCATAGCGCAGCGCCCTCGACAGCTTGCCACTGCTCCGCCCTGATGAGACTATTTACTTATCAGATAAAAAAAGCGGCGAAGAGTAGACAAAGACTGTTGATACAATTATTTCTTTACGGTTGAAGTTGACCCAAGATTCGTTCGAAAGACATTCCTTAACAATAACCACTGATTTTAGCCACGGCTGGGAATTGAACTCAGGTAGTTGGTTTCAGAGCACAGTGTGTGCTTACCAATGGGCTACTGCTCGACCCCTGGTATGGGTAGATTGTAATAGATTTGCATCACCATGGCTTACAATACACGTGAGTGGGGAAGTTCTAAGTATCGTAACATTCTAGATTTGAAGCTTTCGTGACTGCAAGGATTCATATTCTTAGGTTTTTTCGGTAAAGTCACGTAGGTAAAACATTAAAATTAATAAAAGTAAAATAAAATAAAAATAAAATAAAAATCACGACGTTTCGGAGGCAACACAAGCTTCCGTCTTAAGGTGGAACCGTCACAGCACGACCGTCACAGCACAACAGCTGTGGGTGCCACACGCAAGGGGATTGGCAGCAGAACGCAGCATATTTATTCGTCGTGAAACTTTGCCTCTTGTAAACTCGCTGCCACATGAAGCACCGGCTTGAGGCCACGTACGTTTCATCACTGGCGTAAAAACGATAAACAATTTCTTTGTTACTCCAGGAAAGCCCAACTGCGTCTGAAGGGTAGTTTTCAGGTGAGTTCTACTTTAGGGTGCCGGAATAATTTCTGTCTGTGTTTTTGAATGTTCCTTTGCTCGCCCTGAATGAGATGAAATGCTCAGACTCTCCAATTGAATATAACCTCAGCTGTTACACTGCGCCTGGCTGTATCGAGAAGTATAGCTGCCACACCTTTTCCATAAACATGCAACCCATAATGCAACGCATTTAATATACAGTTTCCACATCTTCAAACATTGCCTTATTTTTGTCTTCTGCGGACTGTGTCCATTGCTGCACCATTCATGGGCACGCTCAGCTATTGCAAGATTTTCAAATAAGTCTTTCCCTCAATTTTGCTGCAAGAGGAATCTATTTTGAACCCAGACAGAATAGTGGATCACGCTGTGGTATAGAACTGCACGCAGAAGGAACTAATGACATTATTTTTATCCACACTATGGGCACTCCTTCCCGCATGCCCTATTTGCGAAGGAATGTTCGTAACACAGCAGTCAAGCTGATGCGTATAAGTTCTCAAAGCTAGAATGTTGCCAATTTGTATAAAAACCCATATTTAATGCAATGTGGATTTATATTTTGAAGCGATTAATGCAACTGACTCCATCCATTCACTACCCTTGGCCGAGTTCGAACCAGGGTCTCAGCGGTGCCGGCACTTGTGCACGTGATCTCCCGAGTCACCCGTGACATGTATTCGAGTTTCGATTTAAAGCTTTTGTGACTGCAAGGATGCATCTTCTTGGTTCTTTCGGTAAAGTCACGTAGAAGGGAAGTAATAAAATAATAAAAAATAAAACATAATAAAATAATTCTCACGACGTTTCGGCCACAACGCAAGCAGCCGTCCTCAGGTGAAAACCAGGTCTGTCGAGGCGACAGCATCTGACAGACCTGGTTTTCACCTGAGGACGGCTGCTTGCGTGGCCGAAACGTCGTGAGAATTATTATTATATTTTTTTATTTTTTTATTTTATTACTTCCCTTCTACGTGGTGACTTTACCGAAAGAACCAAGAAGATGTATTCGAGTGTTTTCCTCTAGAACTCCAAACGCTTCGACCCCGTGACCACCAGCCTGAATCCCGGTGTCCCTTACCCGCAGCGTGGCCAGGTTATCATCCGACTCGAGGATCTGTCGCATGTTCGTGGAGGGCGGCGCGATGACCCTGTCGATCACGTGCACCACGCCGTTTGTGGCCAGGTTGTTGGGCTTGAGTAGGCGGGCGCAGTTCACGGTGATGATCTGCAAGCAAGGGACAAGTCAAGTGAAATTTTTTTATTCTGTTTTGGTTCGCATATCGTTGCTACCTCTCTGGCACGGACGCGCCACTGGAAAGGCGTCGTCGTCGCAGCATTATAACACTCAAACGCAACATCGACATTGGAAAGCTTCTTAACGATGATAACGAAAATATATATAGACGAACTACCTACAGTTGATTAAAATGTAAAATGTAAAAGCAAGATGCGGTTGTGAAACTCCGCGGGCGATCTCGTGGGATTAAAAGCAACGGGGTCCGGTGGTGTCTTGAATCAGCGTGCGTTAAATAACAACAACAACAACTCCCAATTGTTAAATATAATATTGGTCGTGAAAGCCTACGTACTGTGAACAATTCACTTTTAAACACACGTTTGTCTTTGGATGTTTATGATTAATTCGCGGCCGAAACTTGAGAAGCCGTGATGAGGGCACACACACACAAAAAAACCCGTTTGCATGTTTTTGTAAATCGTCCTTTATTCCCAATCTGGCCTTGTACCTCCAGCGATTGTGAAAACCACTCGGGGCAATGTGGCCCGTGTCCAGAAGGGTAACATCCGTGATCACGACGCAGCCTTAGAACCGTTCAGTTACAAATCGCATTTGCGAATGTGACCGCATCTCTCACGGACGCGTTTCATAGCTGTCAACCCCTTATCAGTGTCCCACCTTATTACAGACCATGTCAGACCTCATTGGTCACCCCATGGCCCGTATAAATCTCAATGTTCATCATAAAAAAGTCCCATCACAAGGGATAAACACAAACAAATAGACAAACACGACCTATGTATTTGTTGCCCTTATTGAAACGGCTGTGCGCCGTATGGACCTGGAAACTCAATATTTTCCTGTGCAAGAATACGGGCGGGTAAACCGTGTGGGTTGACGCGGTGTGCTGTGGTGTTTTGCCACTCACCCCGTTGGGGTAGTGGTGGACCATGACGCCCAGCTTCTCGTACATGGAGGTCAGCGTGCTGCTGTGCTTGAGGTCACTGGCCAGGAGCCTGCGGTTCACCATGTGGTAGTAGAGGGCATTCCGCAACTCCCGGTTTACGTTGCTGACCAGCGCGTCCAAGACTTCCTGGAGGCATCGTGCGCGTGCGTGCGTTTGTTGGGGACAGGTAAAAGATATCGTCATTATAGAGAGACAAAGGCGGCCGGGCGTGGTGCTGGTCACTCTTACCCTCGTCGCGTGCCTTGCCGACCTTCACAGGTGCTACTCGTTAACAGCATTTGCCCCAACAGTCTCTTAAGGGCTACTCGGGGGATGTTTGTCTTTCGGGATAGGTGAGTGTGAGAGAGTCAGAGCAGGTGAGAGACTGACAGCCCAGAAGCATTGGAGAGGAAGGAGGGGAGCGGCTGAAGGGGGCTGATACCCCCCCTCGCCTCCTCCTGAAAGATGAGCCCCCTTTGTGAAATTCCTTATAGTCAAATCGCAAAAAATATTCACGCAAAATTTACGACAATTTAGTTGTGGGCGTCGCGATGAGAGTTCGAGCAGAATACGTGGTCGTCAAACGCAGATGAAACCGTCACTAATTCCTGTTCAGCGTTTGTTTAAATTTGTCTGTGTCATGCCACCCACCCACCCACCACCCCCGTGACTTGATGCACTCCTCCACATTCAACGAGGTCTCACGCTCCGGGAGGTTCGTTGGGGAGCGAGACACCGTTACGCACGCACGCGCACGCACGCACACGCACGCACGCACGCACACGCACGCACGCACACGCACGCGCACGCACGCGCACCCACACGCAGAGAGAGAGAGACCACGGCCACATGCAGTACACACGCAGATGGCCTGGCAGCTCACAATACCCCGCACCAAGGAGCAATGTTCCCACTCGGATAATTGAAAACGAATGTTTCCCATTAATCACGCACGGTGACATGCAAATCCCAGGATACTGAGAACTGATTGGAAATGAATTAACAGGGGAAATGCCATGGCAGGTGGGCCGAGTTGACCCCTGGCTGGGATTTGATCTTGGAATCTCATTATTGCGAGTTGCGATGCACTCCAAAGGGGGTTACACACCGACTACCAAATAACCTCGACTGTGCCCCCATCGTGTCAACTCTTGGAAGCTGAGCAGAGTTTGCGTCTCGTTAATTCGGGGGTGTTGTGGGCTTAGTGTTCAAGCTGACTCGGGTAACTTCTGGACAGCAATCTAATCTATCCGTGTGAGGCTTTGAGCGTTGTGCCTTCGTACGCATTTACATTGCTGGGTGTACAGAGACTTGGGCATTTAAGAAACGTGCCCATTGCTTCAACTGCCACGGTGGGAGATCGATGGAGCGACCTGTGGGTTGCAAATCCCGTGTGCTAATTACGCTCCACCCCCGTAATTACTGTTATTACTCATTGTTATTATCGCCACATCGTATGTGACACATTTGTGTTTTTTCTGCAATATTTTGCTGTCTTTTCTTGGATTTTCTGTTTGCACTTAGTCACATATTCACTTTAAGATGTTTTTTGTTCATGTTTTTGTATTTTGTTTGTTGCGGTTGCACCCGATTCAAGAGCCGAATGGCTCACAGGGCTATACCTAATACATGAACTTGAACTTGTTACAGCTGATAGCTCCCACTTATAACCTGGCTACAATGCCACGGCCATGAGTGCCATACCCTGTGGATTGGGCTCCAGAAAGAAGCAGGATCGGGCAGGATGGGGTGGGGCAAGCAACGTACGGTGCCGGCATGCCCATAGCCGCTGTCTTGGTTGAATAATTTGGTGTTATTTTCAAGAGCGCCTTTGCCATGTGGGATAAAACCGGGAAGTGCTGTATGGTGGGGAGCGGTGGGGGAGCGGGTAGCTTGCTGCGCTACTCAACCTGGCGACCCGAGTTCGATTCCCACTCACGGCCACCAACACTGGTGACGATCATCTGAATCGGTCCTGAGCCTCCCCTAGGTCGACTCAGCCGCAAGCGAGTACCTGGTGCGGTGTGTAAACATCGTGCTAGGCCACCCACCCCCCTCGTGTACCGTTCCGCCCTTCATAGGGTGCTCGCTAACAGCACTTGACCCAACAGCCTGTTAAGGCTATACCGGGGGGGATCTTTGTCTTTTGCGTGTCGGTGGCGGTGGCGGCGGTGCTGGTGGCGCTTGTCGTGGGGCTCGCTCACCGTGGGAAGCTCCGTCCACCCCTCGTTCTGCGGGGCGAAGTAGGTGACGGTTGCGTGCCCGTCCAGCTCGCCGCGTAGCTCGGCGCGCTGGGAGTATTCCTGCGTCGCGGTGGCGTCCACAGTCTCCAGCGTGCTGAACACGTTGGACAGCGGCGCGACTGGCAACGCGCGAGGCACACGCGCACAAAGATGAGTGCAGGTCAAGATCAAGCAAAATTGTACGCGTGTCAGAATTGGCTTCCGTACGATCCCACCATGGGACCGTACGTTGCCATTATGGCACGATGCGATACCATCGTGCTGTGCCATGATGCTCGCATGGTACCATACGATGCCAGCATGGCTCCGTGCGGTGCCATGACGGCAACGTACGGTGCCGGCATGCCCAACGCCGCTGTCTTGGTTGAATAATTTGGTGTTATTTTAAAGAGCGCCTTTGCCATGTGGGATGAAACCGTAGTCCTCGCAGGAAAAAATCCATGCGGCACGTGGCAATATCACTCAAAAGGTCCTTGCAGAGGGAATGAATGGACCAATTGTTGTACTGCCATCTCCTGGTCACCTATGGGGCGCTGTGGGATTAAGAGTCTGAAACATACGAGATCCAACAATCGTTAGCACAAACGTGCTATATTACAGGCATCCAATTCCCAAACTATGCTAATCCACTGCTCCATGGTTTCAAGTAAATAGAATAGTTGTGTGCATGGTTGTTTTTTTATATTTGCACAAAAGTCCAATGTTGCCAAAGCAGACCCCGTCAATTCATTGAAGCCTCGTATAGCGTTTTTATGTCTTAAGTGTTTATAAGTTCTTCCAAAGGCCCTTTTAAACACGCTGTTCTCCCAGCTGTATACAAGAGGCACACGTAGCTTGTGAAACGGCAGCCGCACAGTTAGAACCCAATGTTCGTGAAGGGCGGTGCAGCTCGTTCAACTCACTTGCAGGGCATCCTTTCTCTCCCTCAATCGAAATGAATCCAGGGCAGCATTCATAGTTCACAGTTCTATGAACAAAACATTGACAATCCAGCTTTGATAAAAAAAAATATGCCTCGACAAAACAAATACAACGTGCACCAATGCCAAGGGGACGTTACATTATTTGTTGGTAAAATTAAAGATAAGAATAAAGTTCCGTGCAAAGTATGTTGCTAGTTGGCTTAGCTGACGAGTGTGAAGGCGGTGCAACTGCGGTCCACGGGGCGGAGGGGCACAGAAGCTGGGCTATGAAGAGAGGGGGAAATTGGATCGAGCCCCCGCCCCCCCATATCCCCATTTCATCCCTTGCATCAGGGGCCCCATGCCAGCCAAGCTATCCCTACTCGATCATAGGCTGTGCAGTGAGAGATACTCTAGCTCCTTGTAGTGGCAAGACTGCTAAATGCACTTATTGAGTAAAAAAAATAGCAGGGTTTGTTCCTTTAGCTTATGAAGAAGGAAAACACTCACCCCTGCTGACTGTAGCGAGGATGAATGCGCAGCGAAATGAATATGCTCGTTACAGCACGTTTGTTGATGGTGGAAGCAATTACTTGAGCTGGGTTTTAAGATGTTTTTTTATGGTACAGCATTTCGTTTTGCCATATATTTGTGTTCAAACCGAAAACTCGTCATTTGTATTAACACATTTATTTGTTGCCTATATCGGCAGCATGCCTGCTGAACAAAAATACAATATCACTCTAAGCTCGCAATTCTCAAGACAAAGCCCCTGTGACATTTTGATGAATTGTAGCTGGCCAGACATGACTTTTTTTGGTTGAAAGAAATATCAATACATTACAAATGATCACAGAAGGATACTTTAACATCATAAACCACCTTAATTTATGAATTAATAGTGTCCATGCTCGCTGGTAGACAGGAGAAGACACGCGACCATAACCACAGTTATAGCGAGGGGTATATCGGATGTGGTGTGCGGCGTGCAGAAAATTAAGCACCGCACACAAAAAACACATCTCATTATACGTTAAAATTGTAACATTGTGCACTTAACGTGTCCTCAATGCTCGGCGCAATTATTAAAAAGCATAACATGCCGTATGTTCACGATCATCGGTGGAATTTCATTTCAAGCTGTGTAATCTCGAAGGGGGAAAACCATTTCACTCGATAAAGCATCACGCGATAAAAGATCATAAAATATTACGCGATAAAATATCATAAAATATCACTCGGTAAAAATCATAAAATATCACCCGCCGCTCATGCCGATGGAACCCCCCCACCCCCCACCACCAGAACGACGCGGGGGGCGGGGGGGCCCAGAGATGGGACACGAGGGTCGGTCTCATCTTGTTTGCTCGGTTCGTACGAAAATATGTCGAACTATAACGATTAGAATAATAATAAGATTCCTACCCCCCCCCCCCCCCCCGAGCTTTACATAGCCTTACATTTATGCAGTCGGCATGGTAACGGTGGATTGCAATCCGCCCTGTGCCCCGGGTGCAGAGAAAATCGTCAAGGCGGTTCTCCCCTACGCGGCGCGTGCCTTTGATGTCTAGACGCGGGCCACATGTTACCATTTAATTTGCTCTCCGCTCTGCTGCTGCTGCTGCCGCATGTCCGTCCCCAGAGCCCTTCCCAGTCCCACTCGCCCCCCCCCCCCCCCCCCCCCCAGGCGGCGCGCGTCAAGGCTTCTTCTCAGCTCTGGGTTTGGGGAGGCTAGAAACCTGGTAGACCTGCGAACCGTGATGGTCAGACGCGATACTGCCCATCACGGAGGATAACCCGTCCGTCAAACCGTCCCTGGGGGCAGTATTCGGGTCCTGGCCATCACGGTTCAGAGGCGCTGGGTTCTCAACCGGCTGGTTTCGTCTCGGTGCGAGTCGCGATGCGCGTTGTGTGTGATGGCCAAATCGTACGGGGCAACCCAGGTGTACAATCAGGGCCGGATTAAGGCACGGGGACTTTAGGGGTTGCAACCCAGGGGCCTCCCGACAGCTTGACGGGGCCTCCAGAGATGAAGTGGAAAGTTATTTAATTTGTGAATGCCGAATTTTATTTGTTGTTCGCCTTGTAAAACGATTTTTTCTTCTATAACTTTGTTTTCCTGTTTGAAAATATTACTGGGGGGCCTCACAGTACCTGGAGCCTAGGGGTGTCTACAAAATCTGAATCCGGCCCTGTGTACAATGCAATATATTCTGCGTGTGTGTGTATAGCGCTCTTCATGTGGAGCATCCCAGGGCGCTGTATAACAAAATATTGCGAATAAATTAACATGTGACACTTTAGAATTGTATTGTAACGCGTGGAATTCAATGTCTTTGTTACGGCGCTGGCCAAAAAAATGTAGGCAATGTTGTACACATTGACATCATTAATAATAATAGTGATCATTCACAGTCTTTTGTCATCCACTGATAGATGAATTCCTCCCTCATGCCTCATAAGTTGAGCCACGCTGCTCAGTGCAGGCTGGTGATGTGGGGAGCACATGCCCGATTCACCTATCATTTGCCATTGATGTTAACCATGGCCAAGATTCAAACCTTGGTTGCTGGGTTGTCAGTGCAGCGTGCTAACCATTGCACCTCCACCCACATTACAACCCCTCCACCCCCTTCCCATAACACATTGATGATATATGTGTGTGTATAAAACATTCAGCAACTCCAATCCTTCAGGGAAAGCCAGGTCAAGTCACGAGCTGACAATGCCAAGGAATGATTGATTTTAATAATTACACGTTTCAGAAATACGTGTCTTAGTTCGAAATGGCGAGTGCAGATAGCTTCCAGTCGCCACCACCACCAGCCACTGTTGCAGAGATCCACGCGACACGTGTCATTATCGTCCTTAATTTCATCTGGAGCTGAGCTCTGGAAAACATTTCTCTCTCACCCCCCCCCCCCACTCCAGCGGGGTGGATGTGATAGGGTGCAGAGAGTTGGGGGGGGGGGGTTGGGGAGTCACAGAAAATACTTTTGGAGAAATTCAGTCGTGCTCCTGTTGTTGAAGATGTTAACTTTTGTGGTCAGTGCTATAGTTATTTCTATGTTGCTGCTGCTGGCTTTTTCTTCAGTAGCGTGTAAATCCTGATAACTTTTGAAAGGTTAAGCAGTGGCATGAATTAACGGCCAGGGTTTTTGACTGGGAAATCAGGCAAGCAGGCATTCGCTCCATAAGCCAGACTTGGAGTTTGGCCATAGCAGGCTTAGCCAAATATAAATAACTGGCGGTTGACATTTAAGTTTGGCCAATTTTAGGATGACCCAAGTCCAGAACTAGCTCACTGAATAAATGCCCAGTTACCCAGTGGCTCAGTGCAATCCTGTTAGCATGTGAGTTGCATATAAAAAAAATTCAATTCAACAACAATGCGACGCATTTGTTTAGAACTCTCATATATATATAACATCATACGGGTTGGGTGGCCTTTTTTGGCAACAGCCATTCTTCGGAGCGGAGAGACACGGGCAAAGAAATTGATCGATTTAGAATTGTATAATCTCATTTTACTCGGTCGTGGGGCCATGAGAAAGTCTGGTCAATTAAAATAAAGTTGACTTGATGAATGCTTCATCGATATCGAAGCACATTTTCCGTGAATATACTTTGAGTAGCAAAAAAACGTATACACTCAACAATACATATTAAGATTACAATAGCTGTTGATGCCACCAACAAATGTGTGCACATATAGCACTGATTAAATATAAGGCAGTGTTAATGAAGAATAAGCTGATTTGTTTTATTCAAGTTTTCGTACGACTGCCAATGCAGCCCATTTCTTTGCTTCATTCATTTCATTTTTGTTAATAAACCAGTCATTAAGCAAACACAGTATACAACTACGTGGGATGTGCACACACATGCGTAAGCTGTCCGTGTCATGTGAATTTCTCCCTCCCCAAACCGACCGCCTTCCCAGCCCTCCTTACGTCGGCTTGCCGCAGATCTTCTTCTGATACCAGGACTTGCACGAAGAGAAGTAGCGCTTGCTCGTGCCGTCAATCTGCTGCACGGCACACGTGTTGGCCCTGTGGGGACGCACGCAGATGGGCCGGATGGCCTCCAACCTCAAGGACGGGAACTTTCCAAGCTGTCAAAATTATATTTATGCACCCCGTCGTTAATCCACCGCTGAATGAAGGCCTTTCTTTCCCACGCCGTGGTCAGTCAAGGGGGTTGCCTGACCATACTTCACCGCGCTGGGCACGCGTGGCTTTAGGTAGGCGGAGGAGTGCCCAGAGCGCGGGTTTAGAGAGGTGACTCGCCCCTTGACGTTAGTCGCGGCCGGGGATTGAAACGTGGGTGGCCATTCATTTTAGAGTGCAGTCTGCTAACGGCTGTGTCACTACTCCCCCAGAATATAGACATTATTAACAGCCAATAGTGATGTATGTACATCATTGTACCTAGCGACACATAACGATTTCCGCTCACGGCCAACACCAGTCACGATTATCTGAACCGGTCCTGGGCCTCCCTTAGGTCGACTCAGCCTCAAATGAGTACCTGGTGCAATGTGTAAACATCGCTACTGGGGAGACAAATGCGTCCGGGTGTGTTGTTGGCCTCCCACACCCTCGTGTGCCGTGCCGGCCTTCATAGGTGCTCGTTAACAGCACTTGCCCCAAAAAGTCTGCAAAGGCTATGCTCACTGAGTATCAAGACTTCTTTAGGAGTAATTTTTTTTTGTATTTTAGTTGAGTCATTTTGTTGTACGTGGAAATAATCTGGAATCCCTGGAGACAAACCCACACACGAGAGGAGAATACAATCGATCGCCTGCTTGCTGTACTGCCTTGTGAAGGCACCTCATTGCCATGAAGGTGGGTTTCTAATGCCCACACCACAGAACCCATCAGTTATGCAGGGGGAACTAACACTGCGGATCATATTGTCAGTGATGTTAATGGGAATCCGTTTTGGGGATATGCAGGATGGGGACGAAAATAAAACGGCGATAGTTGCGGATAATAAGAGTTGCGATGTGCATATGAGAGGAGTTTAATTGTAATGGCTCCAGCTTGGCGTGACCCACCAACCTTACGTTCCAGTGCATGTCTCACAGCTGTACATCACCTTGTCAGCCAAATAAAAAAAGAGTTGCTTCAGGGTTTGTCAGGAATGCAAAACGCTTTTCCACAAATGTCATTGGAAGGTTTTTTTTTTTACTTTAAAAGTCAGAACCTTGGAAGTTTATTTTCCATAGGGAATGTGACCATAATAACCCTAACCGAGGAAACCTTGAATAGTTTTCATATTTGAGCTCTAAATTCTCAGAGCCAAAACTGAAATCCCACAATGGAAACTTGGTGTGTGTGTGTACACGTGTGCTGATGGAATTGTGGGGAACGCTACTGCGGTGGTTAGCACACGGCACTACGGACCCGTCAACGCGAGTTTGATTCCCGCCCATGGCCAATAACAGTGGTGAATCTTCGCGACCGGTCCTGGGCCTCCCCTAGGCCGACTCAACCTTAAATGAGCACCCGGCCGCGGTGCGTAACCATCCGTACAGGGGAACACAAAGGCACGTGGACACCGCCTGTGCCGTGCGGACTTTCACGTATGCTAGCGAGCAGCACTTGCTCCGACAGTCGGTGGAGGCTTTACGGGGGATCTTTGGCTTGTGGGTGCGATTGCATAAGGCGATTAAACGTGAACGGGAGAACTTGAAGCTGGAGACATTTTCAAAGCCCCCTTGGTTGTGGGCCCATAACAATTCCAGATGCTCTCGTAAATCACTCCCCATAAAAATAACCTTAAATTAACATTTTGAAAGCATCGTTTTCGCTAAGATAGCACGAGCCGTCCGATTAATTAATGAACTCAAAACTGTGACCCTTCAGTTGATTAATGTAACAGACCTCGTAATATGTTGACCGTTTGTTGCCAGTCAAACATTAATTGCGTAATGTAGTTTTTATGGGGTTTCCTTTCAATGATTATCTGTATGAATATATGTACATATTTAGTATTTGTATACGAAGATGTACACTCTCTATATAACATATGCAGTAATATATACGTATCCTGTGTATATATATGCCAGGAGTAGTTTAAAACGTTTTAAGCTGAAAAAATTAAGAGTTTCACTCATCTACAGCATGGCTAATTTTGAAGCCTTTTATTATAGTATTTGCAAGTTATATATAATGCAGTTTAGATAATAAAAAAACACGTATGTTTATTTTTTTTTCTTTCTAGATTTGAAGCTTTCGTGACTGCAAAGATTCATACTCTTAGGTTTTTCCGGTAAAGTCACGTAGGTAAAAAATAAAATTCAAATTAATAAAAGTAAAATAAAAATCACGACGTTTCGGAGATTGCTGTATCAAGTAATACAGCAATCGTGCTGTGACGGTTCCACCTGAAGACGGAAGCTTGTGTTGCCTCCGAAACGTCGTGATTTTTATTTTACTTTTATAAATTTTAATTTAATTTTTTTACCCACGTGACTTTACCGAAAAAAAACTAAGAGTACGTATGTTTCTATTTATTTTTTAAAGTATTTTTTTCATTGAATGCCTCTCATCAAACAAGTCCAAAGGAGGTGCGGGCTGCTAGTTGGAAAACAAAAACGAGCATGTTAGATGTTGTATCTGCACTCAAAAACAAATGGATTGGCTTGATTCATGAATAACTGATGATGAAATATACACACCGGGACAAGAGACATAAAAAAGCACCAATACAAAGGGCCAACTTAAAGCAATGCAGATGATATGGGAGCAAGTGGTGGCTGAGTGACCCTGGGATCAGAGCACTGATCTGGCACCGATGAGACCTTGGGTTTGAATCCGGGTCTCGCTTGCGCTTGTTTCAACTGGGTTCTCAAGGCTAGCGAGGTGATGGTCTCAGTCACGTCACCAATGACTGCACAACAACAAAAAATCCCCCATCACTTTATAATTTGTGTTTTTTTCCCACTTGGTTTGAGTTAAGAAAAATGTTGCTTTGACTGCCAGGCGATGGACATTTCTCTGTAGCAGGTTAAGTGGTAAAATGCGCCCTTTAGTGTTTGTATAACAGGGTCTAGAGGGGATCTGAGAAACTGTTTCGTGACATCTGCTTCAATGAGCCTTTACTTTAACATACGGGCGTGATGGAATGCTCCGTGAGGATTTCGACGTGGCCAGTTTGTCACCCAGCATGATCCTGATAGCACAGTTGGAATAACACTTGAGGAAATGGCAACAAAACAAATAAGTAAAATCAAGGCAGTGAGGAAATTAAATAATGGCATCAGCGCTGGCAAGCTCTTCAGGCAGCAGGGCAATGAGATCCATCAAAGTGCACGGTTAATTTATTATGGTGACCCAGATGAAATACACTCCAATAATGTGACCAAGTATTATGACATTTTCCATTTTAACCCAATCGACCACTTCCCCATAGCCCGCTAACCAACTGGGCTCCAAGTAAGCTGAGAAATTCCAAAGCATTTTTCCAGAACCACACCGAAGGAAACAGGGAAAAGAGAATGAACTAAATGAATAGTGCCAGGTCATGTTGGGGAAACGGGCTGGCACGAGATCAAGCTATCCAGAGCAAATTACATCGTGAAAATCAGTCATGATTTCACAACAAATAGAGAAACACTGCGAATTTTCCATTTTTCTAAAACAAATGATTTATGCTTAACTGGCATTTGCCTGACACTAGCACGTGAGGTGGTCACTACTGGCATTGTATACAGTGAGTTATGTATTGTTTTAGTCTGTGTTCCTAATTATCCGCGTGTAATTGGATGGAATCCATCACATTTTTTAAAACTTTATTTCAACTTAAAATATCCGAAATGCATTCAACAAAACGTGAAGATGATATACTTATTTATACTGTTCATGAATCGAAACACATTTATCGAATGACTTTTACATTTGCATTTGTTCAGTGGATTTTTTAAAATACATTTTAATTTAAAAGAAAAAAAATACGATAATAGACTAAATTGAATCCAATTTGCCATGGAAGCTGACTGCATAATACTTGTGCACGGTCATTCTCTTCACCTTCGGAGGTATATATATATAAAAAAACAGGACATACTTAAATACCAGAATAGCGGCTAACCACACGCAAGTGCATTGTCTTGGGTGGTGTATTAAAATATTTCTATTTTTATTATGCAACTGAGAAAAAAACCTGGACCTTTAACGTCCTGCGAAGATTTACAGATTTTCCAAGAAAACATCTACCTCTAATAGAGGACGATCCTGGAGTAAAATTAGGACGGGTGGCAAGACCCATGGCGGTCAAATTTATTCGTGCCAAAAAGGTGGCAAAACACCACGATCCCGGGTCATGCCCAAAGCCTCACTCGCTCGTCGCACTTACCCCTCGCTCCTGCCTCGGATGCGGCTGTGTAGCAAGCAGTCGGTTGAAGTAGGGGCTCGCTTCCCCGTCGGGCAGCAGCAGCAGGAGATGCAGCAGTAAGGTGCCAAGCTGGGCCACAGACACACTCCGAAGTGCGCTTGCATACCCCATTGTTAATGTTACTGAACTAGTGGAAGAATAAAAACAACAACAACAACAATGCGTTTTGTCCTCAGTCTAAGTGGTGGTAGCTGGAGCCTCCTGGGTCCCGTTCACCCAAATTAACAGCACGGCTCACTGGCTCTTCCACTTTTATGTGTGCGTTAACGCTGGTGGGATTGGTTAGGGGGGTTGGTGGGGTGTGAGTAGGTTGGGGGGTGGGGGGGGGGCGTTGTTTGCAGCGTTGGAAGAGGAGAGGAAGGGGTTTTGAAGTTTCTCCAGGGATGTATGGTGAGGCGGGGGAGGGGGAGGGTGTTAGTAGGGAGTGGGTGAGATTGTGAGTTGGGGGGTAGGGTAGGAAAGAGAGCATGGGTGGGATGGTGTGTGTGTGTGTGTGTCAATTTTAGGAAAATATTTGGGATCCTATTAGAGACCCCATTCGCTCCACCCAAAGGCATCGCAACTTTTGTTTCTTTCCGGACTCCAGGAAATGTTTTGAACTTTCTCCCCAACCATCCACCCCTCCTTTTAATGAGCGCAATTTCAGCGCTGCATAGCTGCAATTACACAGGCTGTAAAATCTGACACCATGCGTGCAGCCGTTTTCCATTGCAGATGTGTGGCGATAAGAGATACGCTTTCATTTTTGGAGGTCAGGGGTGGAATAAATAAAGAAACGCATTTTTATGTTATTACTTCGTGCAGCACGCGTGCAATTTGGGGAAAAAATGCCACCCATTGATGGTTCGTTCTTGGTAATAACTAAATGAAACCACCTGCTATTTCACGTTATGAAATTTGCAAGCAATTATTGCATTTCAACTGGTGAACAATTATTTAATGAGTTTAACATGGTAAGTTGACTAATCATCTTCATTAATGAGCAAACTCTGAAAAACTTGCACCCAAATATATTCATGAACAGTGATATAGATACATACGTCTCTCCATCAGGCAGATATGGCAATGGAATTAGCTCATGCGGAGGCGCTAGATGGACCATTGCATCGCAGAACCTCGGCAGATGGTGGCAGCCTGGAGATACCTTCATCCAGCAGTGGATAGGTCATGGCTAATGATGACATCGTTTCATATTGAAACGGAAATCCGTGGGAATTCTATCAAGACGCACTCGATAAGTGAGCAAAGATGGGCACTTTTTTTCGTACACACATTTTCAAACTGCCACACCGAAAGCAGCTGAAAGGCAATTCCTTGCGAGCACGGTGATGACAATGAGACGGGACTCAAAGAGGCATGCTGCACATCGGGCACATAGCGAGAGAAGGAGACATCGCTCGGCAGGTCAGATACACGAAAGCAGTGGCGGCTCCTGCAAAATCTCTCAGGAGGGGCAAATGTCTGGATGATTGATAAGGATAAGGTCCACCCATGCAATGGATAAATTAACAGCTTAAGCATGTAAAGGCAACTTCACTTCTTTAATATTAATGAAAAATAAAGTGACTCTTACAATACATCTTGTTTGTTTCTATACTCACTATTAATACAATCCACTCAAGTTTATTTTATTAAAGATTCCACTAGGTGGCGACAAATTATATTGTTGGATGAAACGTGCTTACGTATGATGACGTAAGCACGTTAGGGCGAGCCCTCCCGGAAGCCATAGAGAATGCATTGCAGCGCCCCCCGGTCGAAAAAAAACATCTTTGAATGTAAGTCTATGGGGCCACTCGGGGCGATTCTCAGCCGGAGTGAAATCGCCCAAAAAGAGGCGGTACTCCACAGAACGTGACATGACGCTGATTGGACTATATCCAGAGGCACAGTGACGGCTATCGTGACTTTGTGGTTCAATGACATTGGTGGTGCGTCGCCCAATCGCCCTAATGAAGAAACCGCCCCTGCACGAAAGGCTCAAGCGGCAGGGTTAACGGTGAAGCAGGCAGAGGGAAGCGATCGTCAAGTCCATCTCTTGAGTTGGGGACGGAGGGAAGAAAATGGTGTCTTGGAGGCCAGGCCAAAAAGAGAGGGCAGAAGAGAACGGTGAAGAAGAGCGAGTACATATGTTGAACTTCTTTCGCACCGTACGTAGCCAGCCGTGTTAATCGGAGGTGCAGTGTTGAGTCTATTGGGTGGTGTTAGTCTATGTGCAGTATGTATGTTGAACTTCTTTCGTATTGTACGTAGCCAAGCTTGCTAATCGAGCCGTCCTCTGGCTGCCCGCACCCTCTTGAGACCCATCTCCTTGTTCAATCCATCAGTGGAGAGATCAAAGCCGACGATGACGATGCCTCAAGAATTGCCCCTTCTTTTCTGTCGATGAGGTTCTGCCTCTCGCTGTTGCGTCGTCATTTGCTCTTGTATAAAAACAATCTCTGTCCTGAAGCAGTCTGCCTGTTTTTCCCTGCTTAAAATAAATACATCTCAATAACTCTATAGATGTTTTGATTTAAAGCTTTCGTGACTGCAGGGATTCATATTCTTGGTTCTTTCGGTAAAGTCACGTAGAAGGGAAATAATAAAATAATATAAATATAAAACAATTAAAATTCTCACGACGATTCGACTGCAACACGAGCAATCGTCATCAGGTGTGTATTATTTCCCTTCAACGTGACTTTACCGAAAGAACCAAGAATATAACTCTACAGATGCCCACATTTGCAGTTATCTCTCCAGCATCTTGAGATACATTCACGCATCAACTATTAATAAACGTAACCTCAACTATCTGTATATATGTTTTATATTTCACCAGGTAAGGCCCACTGAGATATATAGCTATTTTTCAGAAGCGACCTGGCTCCCAGAAGTTATTGGCTTATCATGTGGACATTTGTAGCAGCCAAATACTATAAACACCCCGCCAATGCGCACATGTTTTATCCACCAGGGAAAGTGGGCAATGAACTTGGGTCACGTGCAGGAGCTGGACGGACCATTGCATTGCAGAACCACGAAAGATGGTGGTAGATGTGTTTTTTTTAAGCGTATAGGCGTTTTAGAAAATACACCGCCTAAATTCTCAATAAGTATAACCCGTAAAAACAAAGTTTTTCATCTATAAAGTCCTTTATATGCGTGGCGGCTAGAGTCCTCTCGTCCTCTGGCTTGAGATGGCTGCCACCTATGGGTCAGATGATTGCATTGCACCATTAAGCAATTGGTAATTAAATATAATATTTTTGTCCTAAAAAGTGTAAAATTTTGGGAAAAAATTTCACGAACATTAATTGTCTCGCACAACGAGTCTGTGTGCAAAATGTCAGCTCGATTGGATCACGGGAAGTGGGTTAAAAAACGACCGAAAGATTTGCACGGTCGTAAGCAAGCAAGCAAGCAAGCAAGCGAACTTAATATAAAGAATTTAAAAAAGCACTGAGGTGGTGCTCATCTGTTCACACCAAGATGGGAGACAGGAAGGCTTCGAGAGGCAATGTCTACCAACCTGCTTGACTGCAGGGGCGACACATAGTTTTGTTGAATGAGATAACTCGCGAAACAATGCGTGAGACACACGTTTCTCGAGATACAAGCAGGGTTTTTGTTGTTGTTTTTGTTGTAAGTATGTAACAGATAAAACAAAAATCAATGCCCTTATCTTTTGAAGTCCAAAGGCTTTGACATTATTCTTGCATCATGTACTTGTAAAACCCATAATTTGATAATGGCATGTGCACCGATGCCTACTTGATTGAGGGAGAAATCGGCACTTAAAAGAAGTATTTATTGATTGCCTATTGGCCAGTCAAAAGTCAAAGTGATTTCCGATGCTTAAATGAGCGGTGAGGCAGTGGTCACCTGTTAACCTCCTTGAGCCAGCCGTGGAAGATCAACATTCCAATGGCAGGTTGGAATTCCATCCAAATGACAACCACTGTTGGCTTCGTCACAGAGTGATTCCGTATTTTATCAACCCCAGGGGATGATGGGCTGGGTCAACCCTCAACTCGCAACCTCCTGATTGCAAGTATCTCGCTCTACCGCTGAGTCACGTGACCAGTGGAGAATTGGCCCTGACTATTAACAAAAACGAAACAATTATTTTCATGTTTTACCAGGCAAGCCCCACTGAGCTCTAAAAGATGTTTTCAAAAGCAAGCTGGCCACAAATGATAGCTCAACAAAGTGATTTATCACTTGCCAATTTCCCGCAGACAATTACTCGAAACGTATATTTCTAAATATTTCTAAATGGAAAACGGGAGGACCCGGAGAAAAAACACAATTTGACCACGGGGAGAGAGACACGCAAACTCAAATAAACAGGCGTCGGGGTCAGGATGGAACCCGCAGGCGAGGTCGTTAACATCTCGCCATCGAGGCGCTCCTAAAAAGATTGCACAAGCAACTTACGACACAATTTACAGTCATCCAGAAGTGACCGCATATATTTTACGCTTAGGCATTACGCTATCACTAACGCATGCTGACCATGTGAATAAAGTTAACGTTTCTGGGCGCCGGATGGGTGCGGGGGTGGCGGGGTTGTGGGGTGAGGTGGTGGGCGCTGGTTTGAGTTGTAGAGGGGGGCGCATGAAGAGAGGAGTATATATATATATTTTTTGGGAAGGTCACAGGTCAACTACTGACCGCCGGATGAGTAACGGCAAACGCACTTAACAGACCTGGCTAAACGCGAACCAGACTTTGAGACGAGAGTAACGTCCCTCCCCCCGGGGGGGGAGATGCGTGCGATCAATGGTATAGGATTTCCGACGCGGTCACTGCCTGCAAATATTGAAAAATGCATCCAAACAAATCACATATTGTGTGAACTACAAAAGAACTGCATGCGGGGTTGTACATCGATGCGGTTTAAGTGCTCGGATTTCCCTTAATACGTCCGCTGCCCTTTGCTTTTGGAATCTTCGCAAATATGAGCCCGGTTAGTTTTTGTGTCGGTGACCGTGCCATGGCCTGCCTGCTCTTGCGGGCATTGCGCTGCAGAGCAGAGGGCCGTACCGAGTGTCACTCCCACGTACGCACGGTGGATATTTCTCCGGGTACGCCTGTTGTCTTCTGCACAAAGCCAAACTGTTCACCATGGGATGGCTAAACGGTCTCAGAGCAGGGTCCTCAAAAAGAGTCCTGAGATTCAGCGAGGCTTTTCCTGGGTAAATAAATGGCGCTGTTAAATATTCATTCTACGTGAAATGGGGTTGTCCGCCCACAGCGTACTGGATGAACTAAACGGGATTCACT